TCGGTGACGTCCGGGCATACTGAGCTACTGTAAATCCTGCATTTCCTTAAAGCCGGCTCCCGAGACACACCTTCCCCAAGATGTGGTGACCGGGGATTCGTGCAACAGGATCGACAGCAACTCTGCTCATACCAGTCTACAGCTGTATGAAAACACTCGTCGTAATCACACCATAGTCGTCACAATAGTATCAGAGGTTCCCTGGTCAAGGTGGTGGTGTTATTGACACGGTGACTGTTAGAAGTATTTGCCGCGTTGGCCTCTGGATGCGCCCACTTCAAACTTGATGTACTCTCCGCGCGATGTGACATTCAGGGTCACCGCATACTCGTCGTTCGACGAAGTAATTGTAATTGTTCCAATTGTTCCCGCTCCTGCCACAACCAGCTCAAAGCCGACTTGGCGTGGACAAGTCTCACAGACATGCAATCAGAGGCATGGACACGTCCTTGACTCAAACCGTGCCCTATGACAACCCGCAATAGAGTTTGCCCAGCTCATCCACCTTGTGAAAAAGTCACGTTCTTCGCAACTTTGCGATTGCCGGCTGCCCAACTTTCGCTTGAGCCGCTTGCTGGAAAAGAAAACCTGCCAACGCGCCAGGCTTCTGGGCACAGTCTGGATGGAACACATGTCGCTTGGGTGGAAGAGGGCCGCTATCTTTTTGACCGGAGCTGATGGCAACGTGGCTTTGCAGGCGTCTTCTACATTCGGCTTCTGGGTTTTTGGGGCCATCCAAAGATCAACAAGAGTCCCGTAGCAGCCCTCAACCACAGATCCAAAGCCAGGGGAAGAACAGAGAATGCAAGAAACAAACAAGGCACCACTGCGCCTTACGAAGTAGCCTCCCTCCGACGTGGTGCCTCTCAGGCGAATTGTCGTTTAGAGGGTTTGGGGTTTCCAGGGTTTAGGTCTCAGGGTGGGTGTAGGGCTTAGGGCTTCTAGGGCCTGGGGCTTGAAAGCTTGGGAAACTGCGTCTCTGCACCTACCAGCACCCAGGGGTAGAAACCCTACACCGTAAACCCTAATCCCTACACCCTATAAACTCCGAGTAGAAGAGACCAACTCATCAGCATCCCACTTCTGCAGCCACTGCCTCCACCCAGGAGGTTTGTCATCCCGCCAGTGCTCGTGACGAGCAGGTGATCCTCTGGTTCCATGGTTTCATGGCTAATACCCTAAACCCTAAACCATATTAAGGGTTGATTGCTACGGATGCTACAATGGCTTCAGTCCGAACAAGCCTTGCAGACATGAATTCGCCCTCCTCCGGCACAGAACATTCTACGGTTGAAGCCATCGCGGGCGCCTCTCCCGATGAGTCGGATGAAAATCGGAGGCTGAAAGCATCGCACGCCTCACGCGCAGTGTCAAGCTCGAGCTGGTCTCGAAGCCCCAGGTCTGCACTTCAGGGTTTCGCTGGGTCTTGGTTACACTCCTCTGGCGCGCCCCCCTCCTTTTACCCTAAACCTGACAACCCTCAGTGGGGCCAGCGTCACCGGGCCCGGCAGCGGCAGTGGGGGCGCACCGAAGGCAGGGCAGTACCGCGAGGCGTGGTGGGCGTCAAAAGGCCCTGCGGGTGAAGAGGGCTTGGGATGTAGGGGGTTCAATTGTAGTACAAGGCACAAGGCTTTGGGGGTTTAGTGGTAGGGCCTTGTAGGGCTTCAGGGCTTGAAGGCCTTCAATTTTACGGGCTTGAGAGGGCTGAGCAGGGTTTAAGGCTTCTTGCCGATTCCGCAACTTGCCGTAACCGACTTGATAGCAGGTTTTGGCAACTCGGGCCTTCCGAACACGGCAGGCAGGTACCTCAGTTTGATCTCACCAATGAAATTGCACCTCGACCCCGTAAGGGGCGAATCGAGCCTTCTTGATCTACGGCCCCCTGGGAAGTTTTGAATGTGACCAGCCCAACCACACGCCAAAAAAAGGACCCCAGAGCTGCAAATCCCCCACCATGGCGCTGCCGTCCACTGAGACATACTCCTCGCAAGAGCAGTAGATCTGACCTTGCTGGTCATACCTCAGGGTGCCGGGACTAGGCTTCGAGCTCTTCAGAAAACATTTAGGGTTTAGGGTTTAGGGTTTAGGGTTTAGGGTTTGTGGGCCCCTTAGAGTGTATGCCCTGTTGTTCAGGGCACCCAAAAGAAGGGCCCATCCACAATGTTGACCACCTTTTTTCGTGAGCCTGCCTGCAATGGTCCTGCCCCGGAGTCCAGTGCTGCCCCAATGGGCATCGCCTCACAGGACGACAACCATTGAAGTTCATGCTCCCAGTCGTTACCTTACTGTTGGTTAGCAGGGAATGAGGGAATTAGGGCCCTAGAAATACCCTTGAAGGGATTGTATAGGGCACCTCACTCCCCCTTTCCCTAAGAGCCTACGAACCAACAGAGGTCCCTAGAAATACCCTTTAACTGATTATATAGGGTACCTCACTCCCCCTTTCTCAAAGAGCCTACTAACCCTAGAAATACCCTTTTAAGAGATTATATAGGGTACCTTCATTCCCCCTTTCCCTACGAACCAACCGTATAAGTTACAGGGGGGTGTAGAGAGGGTTTAGGGTTTAGGGTTTAGGGTTTAGGGTTACCAGAGACTGACACCGGAAGCTCCTCTCGCAGGTCTCAGCGATAGCCAGACTGGCGAGCAGAAGCTGCAAGCACAGCTGCATGAGTCCATACTCTCCGGCTGCTTTTAGGGGGCCTTAAGGGTGCCTAGTTGGGGTTTTTTAACGTTAAAGAACCCTAAATGAGTCCATACTCTCCGGCTGCTTTTGGGGGGCCTTAAGGGTGCCTAGTTAGGGTTTTTTTTTAACGTTAAAGAACCCTAAATGAGTCCATGCTCAAGCTGCTGCTTTTGGGGGCCTTCAGGGTGCCTAAGTGAGCTGAGATGTTACTCGTAGCACGCGGAGGAGATACCAACTTCTCTTTCGGACGTTGCTTTGTTCAGGGCATGGGCTTTAAAGGCTCCCACTTAGGGCAGAGGTCGGACCTATGAAAGAGGGCATGTAGCTTGACGCACTCTTTCGCCCCTGCATGACGGCGCATACAGCTACACTTCCCACAGCCATGTCTTCATTCGCTTTCCTGGAGCCAGTGGCCCTTTGCGCGACAGATCATCCGGTGCGTGGTTTTAGACATCTAAGTCCATGGTGGCTTAAGGAGACTGTCAAGATGCTTGCGCGACGTGTGGAGCTCATTGCCATCGTCACGTCCCGTTGCAAAAGTAGGGACTCCATACTGCCTTTCTTAAAAACAGACTTGCAGGATGACTTCCTGCACTTTCTGTTGCGAGCGTGTGCTGCGCATAACATGACATGACATAATACCACAGAGCAGAACAGGTCATGAAAAATTCGCAGCATAGCAGAACATGACATAGCATAGCGGTACATCCTGCTACGAGCATGTCCTGCACATAACATAGCATAACAATAGCGTAGCAGGGAATACCATAGCTACAGTACATTACATGAACAATATGAAAAATCCTACATTCCATGACATTGCATACATACATAGATACACACATACAGTACAGTACACAGTACACAGTACACAGTACACAGTACACAGTATACAGTATACCGTATACAGTATACAGTAGACTGTCTACAATACACAGTACATAGTACATACATACAAACATACATACATACATGCGTGTCTTCATACATATATATATATATATACGCTCTGGCTCGGGCTCACGCATTGGTCCAAAAAACCCTGAAACATCCCAGGGTGCACTTCTTCATTGAGGCCCACGACACCAGCCACCTCAGCGAACTTGGCTTCTCGTCGTTGCTCTTGGCATGGTCATGCGCAGTACTTCGTACGATGGCTCTGTACCATGATGACCCTCATGACTGTGATCATCATTGTTCTCAATTCTCATTACGGTCTATTCTACATGCACGTGCTAATGGTACGCACTCCGGAGACTTGGAAGTTCTCCACCTGGGCCGCATGCATCAATCCACGGGAGGAGCAGCTGCTGCTGTCCTTCCACAGCTTGAGCTCATCTTGAGGGGGCTGACGGCACAAGGGCAAGTTCATAGTGCATGTTATGATTGTGCTATATGTGCTATACATCAATATGTACATATATCTGTATAAATATATTCTGATATTGTGCAGTAGGCATTGTAACTTGATGTATGTGATATGTATCAGATGCAGCTCCGTGCCTGTCAAATCCTCCTCGTGCACGCAGCCACAGCCAGCCCTGGCAAAAGCCAGCAAGATGAGTCCAGCGGTAAGATATAAAACCAAATCTGCAAGTTTTGTAAGATACAGTGTAACAACTACGGTATAAGATTGGGCTTAGGGTTCAGTCAAAAGGAAACCCATGCAACATCGGAAGTGTCAAGGCGTAGAGTCTGGAATCTCACAAAAGCACTGCGCGTGCGCAATCCTGGCAGGCTGACCCATGCGTCCCCGGCATCGAAGTGGCAAGGGCGCCAAGCTAGGGCGACTGCAACTGGGAGTTTCCACAAAATGAGGCTCCCACTCTTTTGCCCAACTACATCAAAATACTACCCCTGTAGACCCCGAATGGGACGCCTGTTTTCGGAAACCACCGACAGGGTTCTCGACTTTACTCGCGGATTTTCTTGAGGCGTCAGGATTCTGACTGGTTCAAGGAGGTTCAAGAAGCTCCGACCAAGTCGCCCCCTGCGCACACAGGTCTGCAAATGTGGCTTGCAGATGCTGACGTAAGATCATCTGCACGTCCGGCTGTAAGCCCACAGACATCCCAGATGTTTGCGATTCTCTTCCAGCTGAACAGTACTTAGGGTTTAGGGTTTTGGGTTTAGGGTTTAGGGTTCGGGGTTCGGGGTTCGGGGTTCGACTACGGCAGACGCACTGTTTTTCACCTAAGGCCTTGTTTGGACCTTGACCTGCTCCATAACAGCAAAGCAGCAACACAGTGAAGAGGCATGCTTCTTTGACCATTGCTGCGCGGGTCGCTGCACGGGTGCTCACCACGCCGTCAGGTCATGCGCGGAAGTGCCTCCAGGGTCGGAAGAACCAGCAAATTCATTCCAAACTATATATATATATATATAATACACACATTATAACAATAAGATATCTGCATCCCACATCCAAAACAGAACCTAATCTAGAATATAGAACAGAAGAACCTGCGTAGTAAACTGCATGCAGCACATGGCAGAACTTGGCACTCCCGCCTCTGGCCAGCAGCTCGAACCTCCACATCCAAGGTCGGGCATCGGGAAAAGGCACACAACTGCAAAAGCCATGCTTTGATGGGGCTTTAGGGTTTAGGGTTTAGGGTTTAGGGTTTAGGGTTTAGGGTTTAGGGTTTAGGGTTTAGGGTTTAGGGTTTAGGGTTTAGGGTTTAGGGTGATGTCCCTCCCTCACAGCACCTTCGCATCGAAGGTTGGAGATTCGATGGGCGCTGAGGGAGTCTGGAATGGGCCTCAGAGGGCCAGCACTCCTAGAATCTGATGGGCGATGCCTCGCCGTAGACAAGACTGACGGCCAGCGTCAACAGAGATAGTACAATATAGAATCATATAGCATGATATAGCCTAATATAGTAGAATATAATATAACATGATCTAATATAGAAAAATGTAGCATTCTTTCGTCTAATAACACTCCCCTGCAGGACCAGCAGCTCAACATCGCCTTGATGAACAAGTCGTGGAGCTCTGCAAAGAAGGCGCGAATTGCCTCCTCGTTTCGGTGCCTCTGGCCATGTTTGTTTTTGTCACAGGGGGGGCGAGCCACAAGGCGCCGATGTTGGGCGCCGCACTTGTGAAGCAACATCATCCGCACCTGGCACGCCAGGAACAATCGGAAAACAGGCTTAAGCTTTATAGGGTTTAGGGTTTGTGGGGTTTAAGGACTTTTTGAGGGCAAGAAATCATCTCCTTGGGGCCCTGGCGTGGCCCGCTGTGCAGTAAGCTGACACGTGGAAGTCGTTGAACCTGCCGGTGGGGGAGCGGATCCATCTACGACTCCCGATACAAGCCAAAGCAGTCCAATAAAAAATAGATGGGTATAGATGCACATAGAACCTTATAGATGCTCATGTGTGTGCATGTGTATATATTATATACATAACACCTGTGTGTATGTACACAATATGTATATGGACACCCCGCTCCCCCTTTGAGCTCTACCTCCTCTTCTTCAGACTCAGGTCCACACTTGTCCACCACGCGGAGGAACATGGAGGAGGTGCTCCAAACCATCTCATCGACCTGCTTACAAGTAAAGGAAGACTCCCTAAGCAACTGCAGCTGCAGTATCCTTAATATTAACACAAGTATACATCAATGTAAATATAATATATATATATATATATATATACATATATATATGTATATACATATATATATATATACAGATATACATATATACATATATACATATATACATATATACACATATATATATACATAAACGTAAATGAATGTATATATTCATATGTATATGTATACACAGCTTTAGTGACACTTTAGTGATTTATGTACTTAGTATATTGAATATACAAGTATATCTATACTGCAACCAATAATTCTTTCATTTGTTGTTCAAAGTAGGGATATACAACACGTGTCTCGGCAAAACTCTTGGCACTCACATCTCGTGCAAGGTTGCGCAAGTCCAAGATTCCAGCAGCTCCCCCTAAGCCCCGAACCAAATCTAAAGCCGCGTGCACCACGAACTGGTCCAAGTGTGGACTGTCCTGCGATTGAAGCCACAGTGTAGATGCCCTAACTTGAATCATGGTCACTGTTGAGGTTCCAATTATGGATTATGGAGCCTTATCATTCAGGGTTTATAGGTTTTCGGGTTCAGGGTAGCCAAAAAACCCTCAAGTTTTGAGAACTGCCCGCCGGCTGGCAAACTTTCTCGGGGACATCTTCGACGTCTTCCATCCACAGCTCGTTACACGCCAGCTCTTGCAATCAATGGCCCCGTTTTGGGAGGGCATCCTATGACTCATACGGAGCTTTGCATTGCAGGGTACGTACTTATTAAAAAAAAAAAAAGGGGCGTTCACCCAAAACCTAAACTTTATAAATTTCTGAAACGTATGAATAACTCCCTAAACTACCCCACCATCTTCGAGGTCCTCGCGGATGCCTTCAGTGCTGAGGTCCGCCTCGTAGATGGGTACGTCATCCTGCACCCAGGAGCCACGAGATAGGGCTCAGGGTGCAAGAGTTCAGTTCAGGGCTGGGCGCCCCTTGTCGCCCTAAGGACTAAACCCCACAAAGCTGTACCCTGAACCCGAATGCTCCAAACTTCTGAACCCTAAAGCCATAAAGCCTGAACCCTCAACCCATGAAGCTCTGAACCCCGCAGCCCTAACCCCTAAAGTCCCTAAACCGCAAGCGGCAAGGGATGGGCCAGCTCCTTGCCCACGATAATGAGCACATTGACAGTGGCCTTGGCATTTGCCCGAGATAAAGGGCAGTCTAGGGTTTAGGAATTTAGGGTTTAGGGTTTAGGGTTTAGGGTTTAGGGTTTAGGGTTTAGGGTTTAGGGTTTAGGGTTTAGGGTTTAGGGTTTAGGCATCAGAGAGACAAACCTTAAAAAGGCAGCGACTGGCTGAACATGAGGGGCTGCTCCGCTTGACCCCGAATATATAGGGAACCGCCGTTTACAGCGGACTGCCTGTTCAGGTAGCTCCATTATGGGCTTGCAATCGAAACTCTACGGTACTGGGTTTCATCTGGTTGTGCTACTGCAGGGTGCGGGAGGGAGGCAGAATCAGAAAGCCCGACCCCAAACTTGGAGCCCTAGACTCTCGACACCTAAACCCTCCTTAAAAAGGCCTGAATTCCCTAAAACCACCCTACTCAGCCCGGAAGCCATACTTGTGTATGATCCTAGGAATCCACCCATGGCTTTGAATTAATCTTAACACTCTTGAAATGGTGACCGCGACAGGCTTGATGGGACCTTCGGCGGGCACCTGCTGGGCCATGGCGTCCTTCAGTCGTCCCGCAGCGCTGATGCCATGGAGGTGCTGCACATTGGGAGGGGGGGGAGAGGGGATAGCGGCAGAGTTTAGGGTACAGGGCTTACTAAGCTACGGGGCCCTTGAGTGGTCCCCAAAACTATATAACAGAGATGCAGACGTTGTTGCTGAACTTTGCCCCCAGGCTGTGAACGAATGCCCCTCTCGCGAGCTGGAGATGTGTGAACATTTGATCGGGATCCTGGGTTTTAGGGTTTAACGTTCGGGGGTCTTGGGCTGTGAGCCAGGCTCTTGAGGGCGATTTGTGCATGGCTTGCCGTGGAAATGATCCGGAGATTCCGCCGCGAGTCCCTAGCGCTTTGCCGGCGTAAGGGGTTTGGGACGGCTAAGGGCTTGGGGAGTATGGTTTGGGCTTCAGACTTCAGGGTGGCAGAGTTCAGGGTACGACTGCCTGTGCAAAGTAGGCATTGCCGGACATCGGAATGCAACGTTTGCAAAGCACTAGCCGCACGGTCCGGACTTCTTTCAACTTGGACTTGCTCATCCACTTGCCATCGCAGGACGTAATGGTGAACTGCGGGCTAGACATACACGAGTTGTTTTGAGCACGGGTCCCTCTGAGGGCTTCCCTAAAGTCGAGAGCAGACATGAAGTACAAGAAGAACCTCTGACAAAGGGACCTTGCTGCAAAACAACCCTTACATGAGCAACTCTAACTACACCATCCCCTACCGTGCCCTGCAGCCTGCAGCCTCGAATCTTCAGCTCTCGGCTAACTAAGATGCGGTCAGGGTTTCGGGTTAGGGTTCAGGTCTGAGGACTTAGGGTTTTGAGCCGGTTGTTGCCGATACTGCTTGGGGGTTCAGGGTTAAACCCCAGACACGGTACTATAAACCCTATTACTAGGCTCGAGCCCCTGCCAACCACGTAAACCTTACAAACCCTATACACCCTCAACCCCATAATCCCAAGCCCTATAAACAAGATAAACCATACAAACTCTAAACCCCACAAACCTTACAAACCCTATAAACCTTCCAAAACCCCTATATTATAACCCCTCAACCCCCACGACACTAAACCTTCTAAACCCTAAGTCTCAAGATTGTTCCAGGAAGGCGCTTGTGAAGCTGCAGGCCGCAGGTTCACTTTTGCAACTCCTGAGAGGCCAGCTGGCTCAAGTGATGGAATTCAGGGTTTGGTTGGGGGGTTAGGGCTTCTACAGGGCTTATATAGGGCTTATATGGGGCTCATATAGGGCTTATATAGGGCTTATATGGGGCTTAGTGTTGAGCGCTTATAAAGGGCTTAGGGGTTTTGAGCTTGAGGATGTAGGGTTCAGGGATTAGAGAGGGGAGGGAGACCGAGAAGAAGCGCAGGAGGAGAGTGGGAGGGAGAGGCCTCCTCGATCAGCTCGTAGTATTCATGCGTCTCGGGATCGTAGTAAACATCCCAGTCGGGATCGTAGATCACCTGCCATGCTGTTCAGGTCCGCCACGCGGAATGATTAAGGACGGTCTGCGTAATTGCCCTCCTGAATTTCCAGGGCTCTGGGGCACTTGAAGGGTTTCAGGTTCCAAGAGGGGGGGGCGAGGTAGGAATTGCAGGGTACCCTAAACCCTAAACCCTAAACCCCAAACCCTAAACCCTAAACCCTAAACCCTAAACCCTAAACCCTAAACCCCCTGCAGGCTACCTCAACCATGGACTCCGGGTCTGACTCCTTGGCTTCGTCGCTGCCCTCCTGCGCCTCCACGTACGCTCGAAGGCGAAGGAACAGGGTTTGGGGTTTGGGGTTTGGGGTTTGGGGTTTAGGGTTTAGGGTTTAGGGTTTAGGGTTTAGGGTTTAGGGTGCAGGGTGTAGGGCTTAGGGCTTAGGGCTTATGTAGAGCTTAGGGTTTGAGGCGCACAGGTCTGAGGATTGCACTCAGGGCTTATGCTGCTGCACGATGGAGCCGCAGCAGTTGGAACAGGAACCGACAGCAGAAATGGCCCGCACCTCCGAGCAGAGGGTCTGGCGGTTCTTCTGCCAGTTGCTGCCCATGAGCGGGGCGATATTCTCAGGACGACAGTCCTGTGCCAGGGGCAGCACCATGGCGAACTACAACTACAACCCTGAACCCGAGATACCCTGAACTCTAGAGATCCTAAACCCTAAACCCTAAACCCTAAACCCTAAACCCTAAACCCTAAACCCTAAACCCTAAACCCTAAACCCGGACTCGACAGCCCCTAAAGGCCCTAAAGGGCCCAAAAACACGAAACCCCTGCAGTTCAGAGGCCTCAGGTGTGAGATCCCATGCCCACGCTGTTGTCGCAACCTAGGGAGCGGGTGCCCTGAACCCTAAACCCTAAACCCTAAACCCTAAACCCTAAACCCTAAACCCTAAACCCTAAACCCTAAACCCTAAACCCTAAACCCTAAACCCTAAACAACCCGAACCCCCCCCCCGGAAAACCCGAAACTTGGCACCTGGGCTTCCCTGTGTTAAGGGTTTGCAGGTTTCGGGGTTGAAGATGTTTAGGGTCGTTTAGGGTTCATGGAGTACATGGAGTTTATGGAGTTTTATGGAGCTTAGGGGTTGGGAGGGCTCTGCGCTGCCTAACACTTGAAGCCCGAACCTCAAACCCCCACACAGGGACAAGACGTCCGGGTTAAGGGCTTGGGGGCTTTAAGCTCCCTTGCTGGGGTGGGCGCACACCCGGCCGCCTCCCGCAGAAGCGAGTTGACCCCCTCTAGGCAGGTCAGGGTCATGGCCTCCAACTCGCCGGAGAATCGGTTTTGGGTGTTGGGTCTTCAGTTTAGGGAGGGTTTAGGGTGGGGTTCAGCCTGTTTTGGCTGACGAAAACCCTAAACCGTACAGGTTTTTGGTTTCTTTTCCATGAGGGCCGCCCTTTTTCATGAATGAGATGCAGTGCCTTGCACATACCCAGACCCCCAACATCCTAAACCCCAATAAGAGATAATAAGAGTACCCCAGAAAAAAGTGGAAAAAACAACCCCTAAACCCTAAACCCTAAACCCTAAACCCCAAACCCCAAACCCCAAAACCCCCATCGAAGGTCGGCGAGCCTGCGAGCCGCTTTGGATCGCGCTGAGCAGGCGGCCCATGGGCACCAGAGGCCTTAGGTCTCACGATTGAGGATAGAGATTGTGAAGGAAGCTCGCACACACAACGTTGCAGCACATAATGCCTTGCATGAAATATATTTCACAAGGTTCTATGCCTTGTGCACCATACCAAGCCGCGGGGAAGAAGAAAGTCGGCGGGGCGGCTGTTTGCGCGGAGGGCTTCTCTGGCGTCGTCCCTGTCTCACATCTCACAATGTCATGCAAGGGGCGAATTAACAGGCCGGGCACGTAAGGCAATTCCATAGGCATAGGGATCTTTCCATAGTATTGTGAAAACCCTATATAAGAGACTAAAAACGCTCTGAGGAACCTTACGAACAACTTCCGACACTCTCGTGCAGGTTCTGCCGATCTTCGGCCCGCCTGGGCTCTTGCACGCAGCCATGCAGGTGCACCCGGCAGTGAGAACTCCTTTCGGAAGGCGTTGGAATGATCACAATAGGGTAAACACGAATTGCTTAAGAACCCTTCAAAAAATTTAAATAGTCTTCCTTATAAGGGTAACATAGGGTTCTTAAGCAAATAGTAGGTAAGGGTTCAACCTAACCAAGGCTCTACTGGCCCAAACATCCACAGCAGCTTCACAAGCTCGGAGCTTCACGTTTCCAGGCTTTGAACCACCCGGCCCTAGGTAAGGATGGCTATGACTGCCACTACTACTACCATGACCGCTGTTCTTGTAAGGGTAGCCCCTTTTCTGGCCCCCTTCTTCCTCTGACCTATGATGTTTCGTCTTGGAAATCGTGACCTTCTTACGATGTCGCACATGTGACGATGCACGAAGGTCTTGCAGCGCACCTGCCCTAGAGCCGAAGACAACTGCCTACACAAGCCTGCATCGCGCTGAGCCAGAACCGTGTTCTTTCACACTCCAATCCCTAAACCCTGACCCCTACACCCTAAACCCTAGAATCTAGAACACAAGTCGACAGAGGGCGTAAACAAGAGGTGCAAAAAGTTCAGTGCCAAGGAGGCGGCGCTGTCTGGCTGCGGTTTCGGAACGGCCCCACCTCAACTCAACTGTTCTTCGGACCCCTTTAAAGAACAAAAACTATATGGCGGCCTAGGCAAGAGGTCGCATAGCGGCTGAGCAAACCTTCTACCAAACATTCTCACAACAAAGTCGTTGCAGCAGAGTGGAGAGTCTAGCGGGATGGAGGGGGGGGGGGCACTGCCATGCCATATTCCATGCACTTCGAAGATGCACATTCCCCTGGCACCTGACACCTTAATATTGAAACCTGACCTGTGAGTCATCTCACGTGACAAGGTCTTGCACATCCGCACGCTCTGTTCGTTTCAATCTCTGTGGGAGCCTCTTCGAATCAGGATGTCAGGAGTACATCTCTCACATAGAATGTAAACAAAAGGTTTCATGTACTTGTAAGCCCTAAACCCTAAACCCTAAACCCTAAAACTGTTTAAGTGCTTGAACTGCGAGCGCAGCACAACTGACGAATCCCGCCATCAAGACGAGCGTTTATTCTGGGTCGTTTTAAGGTGCAGCCTCCGTATAGGCTACCTTTTCTCGTAGAACCCTACAAAAAGAAAACCAACCCAAAGGGAGCCTTTTCTGGAACAACCCACCCATGAAGATTGGAGCATCCTTTTTTCCTGATCCTTCTTTCCGCGACGCTGCTTCTTTTCGAACCTCGGCTTTGAATAGGGGCTGCTTCACCCCCAAGCAAGACTTATCCTAAACCCCTAAACCCTAAACCCCGAGCCCTACACCTAACTACAATCTACCGGCTTTCGAGGTAGGGTTGAGGCCAGAAGGTGTTCCATGGGGCAGCCGCTAGGCTGTCATGTGCCGCAGAGGCGCTTCTTCTGCTGCTTCAGGCCTTTCCCCTTGCCACGACCTGGGGTTTGGGTTTGGGGTTTAGGGTTTTGGGTTTAGGGTTGAGGGTTTAGGGTTTAAGGTTTAACATGAGACTTGCCAAAACTGGGTAGCCAAGATGAGCCTGTCTCAGGGCAGCACCCTTGCCTTTCTTGGCCGCCTTCTTCTCCTTCTTGGAAAGCTTCGCCTGTCGCAGGCTTCTGCCATGTGCGTCGTTCAAGCACAAGCAGATAGCCCTCCCCCCCCCCCCCCCCCCCAATCTTCCGAAAGCAACCGTGCCGCTTCGGCAGCTCTTGCGAAGGAACCCCAAACCCTGACCCTCAAGACCGAAGCCGTCCATCCTAAACACTCTAAACTCCAAACCTTCATTACATCCCACAGCCCACACTCCCTAAACCCTAAACCCTAAACCCTAAACCCTAAACCCTAAACCCTAAACCCTAAACCCTAAACCCTAAACCCTAAACTCTACGCCCTACGCCATCATCCCTGGATTGCCTTGACCATTGGTTTGGATGCCAGCTGCTGCAGCTCCGCTGGCACCTCCTGCCAGGAGGCCGGCTTCTGGGGCTTCAAGGGCTTGAGGTTTAGGGGGTTTTAGAGGTTTAGGGGCTTAGGGGTTTGGGGTTTAGGGTTTTAGGGTTTAGGGCTAGGGTTTAGGGCTTAGGGTTTGGGGTTTAGGGTTTTTGGGTTTGGGGGTTTAGGGGTTTAGGGGCTTATGGGTTTAGGGGTTTCGGGGTTTAGGTTTAGGGTGTAATATCGGGCTTAGGGTTCTGGACCCTTGCACTGTGCAGATGATCATCTGATGCTCAGGCCCTGTAGTTTTCAGGACGGACAAATTCCGAAAGTGCCAGCTTTGCACGAACCAAGAGTGTGCTGACAACGAGGTAGATGCGCAGAAAATCTTGCTCCACGATCCACAGTATTAGGAAGCTTTTTGCCAGAAACCAGACCAGAATCTGATACCAAAAGCCCACCTGAACAAAAGCAGCTCTGAGCCTCAAAATCAACAACGGTGCAGAGAACGAACTTTTGAATGAACATTGGCGGTGGAAGAGACGCTGCGAAGAAGCCGATAGTTCAAGTCAGGGTTCGGGGTTTCAGGGCTAAGGGTTGAAATTGCTTAGAGGGTCTGAGCAGGCTCTATCGGCTTTGAGCTTGGGACCTTCGCAACCCTGGATGTATCTCGGCTGAAATCTCTAACGAGCCCTGCTGCCACAACAAGTCTAGATTAGAGGCTCTGTTGGAGGATCTTTCTATAAGGAATCCGGGTTTCCGAGCACAACCTCCCAAACACTACAGCAGCTGTCTAACAATCCAGCAACTACCCCCTGCCACCCTAGACCACCCAAGTACCCGTCGAGATGCCCCAAATGCCCAAGCAAGTATTTTGAGGGCCTTATAACAGGGTACTTAACCCTAAACCCCAAACCCCAAACCCCAAACCCCAAACTCCAAACCCCAAACCCTAAACCCTAACCCTAACCCTAAACCCTAAACTAAACACTGTAGGAAGGAGCACCTGGTCCGCCGACTGCAGCAATCCCACAAGCTGTGAGGCGCCAGCGTCCTGTCCAAGGAGCACTTCGCATTTTCGGGCTTGGGGTTTAGGGTTTAGGGCTTAGGGTTTAGGGGTTTAGGGGTTTAGGGTTTAGGGGTTTAGGGTTTCGGGTTCAGGGCTTGGGTTTGGGGGGGCTTTGGGGGTGGTTTGGGGCGGAGGGGGGGGGGGGGGGAGGGGTTGAGGGGGGTGAGCGACGTGAAAGCTTAGGAGTTGGGCCTAAACCCTCACAGCCTTTGCTCTCCTGGGGGGGGGGGGGGGGGGGGGGGGGGGGGGTTCAGGGTTTAGGGTTCGGTATGTGGGCGTCCGTGGGCTGTACAAGGGCGAAAGTGCTGGGTCGATGTGCTGGATTGCAGCCGAAGCCTGGCGTTTCGTGCTCAGATGTGCTTTTATCGTTTCAAGGAATTCCGTTCTACCTTTGCAGGTTGGGGTTTGGGCATTCAATTAAAGGGGTTGAGGGTTCAGGGGTGTGGCTTCCTTGGTGGAGAAGCGTTGACACGCATAACTGCTCTATCGACCGGCCCTCATACTGGAACCCCCCATACATCACAAGATCAGGTACAAGGTCGCGATCTGAAAACCACACCGAGGGCGCAAGAACGTTGCTGTAGGCCGACCAAACCGTACGTGCTTTCGAGGAGTTGAGATTCGGCACTTCCGGTTGAAACGATGAGAACTTTCAACGCCCCCAGTTGCTAGAATTCTCACATGGATTAAGATGCGAAGCTTGATTCCACCCTTCAACCGTTCTCACTGCATCTCCCAGTTCATTACAGCAGACCACCAAGAGGCAGCATGCTCAACGCCTGCCCTGACCCTCAGGCCTTTTCAGGGTCGAAGAAGGTGATGGCTCTTCCCTCCTTTGACACTGTTTCACACAAAGCAACCCCGCTTATCAATTGCCTTTTGCCGCCTTCGCCAGCAACATATGGCACGTGGGGTGAATAACCTCAACCAAGGGCCCCTTTTCGGGGACCTTCTCAGAAGGGTCTATACCGATTTCTCTATCTTAGGTACATATAATATAAATAAATATATATATATATAATGTTATATAAATGCATTATACCTGCAAGGGGACCCTCAAAGCCCCCCTGTTTTCGACGTGGCCAGTCGGGACAGGGTCTCCTTGCCAGCACGCCCCGTCCGGCCAATCCTGTGGATGTAGGCTTCCGCCGCCTCCTGCAACGAATTTGGGCTTTAGGGTTCCGGGTCCAGTCCTTAATGGGACATTCTCAAGAAAAGGCTTCTTTGAGATTCCTCAAGATTGGGGCACCCGTATGTTGAATAGATGAAGAGAGGAATCCCCAGATCGGTGGGCCACCGCATATTCTGTCTACGAGTGTGTGCGTGGGTGTGGGGGGCATCCCCTATTGACTGAAGCTGGAAAAAGACAACAAAGAAAGCATCAATCCGGAAGGCACCACGGTGCTCCGGCATTTTTGAGGCAGATCGCAGCTGTGATTCTGTACCTGTCAACGTGGAGCTCCAAACCTCGTCAAACCCCAAACCCTTGTCCGTCCTGTGGCGAGTGGCTGGACTCGGCATAGTCAAAGATGACCTGCGATCCGAAAATTGATCAACACAGATGCCTTTTTGATTGGGCATGTTCTGGGGCTTCATAAAATACGACTGCTGATATAAGGGTGTCATCTTGGCTGTTCTTGAGGCTCCTGTGCTCTCATGCAGCATACGCAAGGTTGCGCAGCTGTGTGTCGACAGACTGCGGGGCGGCGCACCACCAGTGCAACGCCCGGAATGTCCAGCCCGCGGGACGCCACGTCAGTTGCTACCAGGACGCCTGCCGAACCATCCGAATGGCAGGCATGTCGTGAGGCCCAGTGGGAGCTGTTTGAGGAGTAAACCCTAAACCCCAAACCCTGAACCCCTTGCCTTTCTGCCCCTTGCGCGGCATCTCCGTCATCGCACCTGGGCCATTCAGCCCCACAAAGGAAGCAAATGCGATTGTGACGCCAAGCCTCAGAACCCCAAAGCCGCCGTGCCCTCTTAAGCCTGTAAGATGAACACGAGCAGCTCGAAATCTTGCGGTCCTTTTTGGGTGGGTGCCCTACAGATGATGGCTCTCTATGAAATTCCCAACCCTAAGCTGTCAACCCTAAAGGTCCTAAAGCCCGAAAGCCCTTGAGAAGGACCGTCATTTGGCGCGGCACGAAAGGCTGACAGCGTCTTGTCGCGCTCGGCTTGATCCTGCGAAGTGGGCGCAAGGATGAGGCTGTTTTTGGGCTTTGCAGGGGCGTATGGGCTTGTAGGGGTCATAGGGCAGGCTAGGACTGGGGTTTAAGGGGTCATAGGGCAAGCTAGGACTGGGGTTTAAGATGTTTCTGTTACAGACAGGCGGGGAATCGTGGAACAAGAGCAGCAAGGTATCACGGAAGCTTTTGCAAATCCACTTTCAGATGGGTTCCCACTGCACCATGGGAAGTCACTCCCGCAGCGTGGGTCTGATTGCGATGTGAGCTGGCGTTGCTTTCGCTGCCAGAGCACTTGGTCCTACCTTACAGTCTTACAAACAATTGAATAGCTGGTCCCATGGCTATCTGCACAGATTCAGATGTGCTTAAAATGCGCAGTCTGGCTGGATCCGAGTCTTTGCTTCAGCAAGATCTCGTGATAGAAAAAATTGGATTGCAAGACCAGGCGTGAGCTTGCGAGCTTGCAAAGCGGCGTTTCGGCTGTCACCTCTCAGTTTGCCCACCACTGTGGGGTGCCCGGCAGCAGGTCAATGCCGAAGAAGATGAACAAAGGTGGCCGGAAGAAGAAGAAGTACCCGCAGAAGCTGGACATCCCATACAGCCAGGCGTAGCCGAAAGCTATCTGGGCCTTTGCCCAAAACATGGAGCTGGCCAACCCAACCTGGTTCAAGGTCTTCTCACTGCCAGCCCAGGACCGAAGCGCAGCGTCAACCTTCTCCTTTTCCAGATATCCGGAACCCTGGCCGAGGATCGTGAAGAGGGCATTGGAGGTCATCTCACTGCTGCCCGCAATCTGCTCCTGCGCAGCGACGAACTGCGGCAGGTCCATCCACCGCTGCTCCTCTGGTCACAGAGGGTGAGGGAGGTCGGAAGATGGGAGGTTGGTATGTAGACACAGGGATGCAAGTCAGAGCAACAATCCTTGGGAAGTGGCGTCCACTTGGCGCCTTCTTCCAAGTGCGCTGGCCTGTTGTCCTGGGCACGGGGAGCAATCGACAACCACTGGAGCAACTCGCCTCACGTCTTTATTGCAGTAGCAGCACTGAAAAGCATTCCGAGTGTCCGGTCCAAAGTCCACCTTATCCCAGAGAGCATCGCTGGAGCTCAGGGACAGCTTGAGCGCAGCTTCCTTCAGTCGGGGTGTGCAGATAAGGGGGCAAATCTCAACAAGAACCAAAGGAGCCATTCAGGAATCATTCTTCCCAATTCGCTCACCTCAGATTGCGCCAAGCCACCTCCCCCAACTTGCAAACCCCTCACTGTGACGCCCGAAATCTAAACCCTAACTCCTCCAGTTCAGACTGGTCGTAGCCGGAGCCGAACAAGAAATCCTGGCGAGTCCATGTAACTTCATAGGACCACATCTTGGCAACACAGTGCCCGTCCCTCTCTAAAGCGATGCTTGATAAAGCCGTCGTAGTCCCAGGGTATATAATATATACACACACAACATTCCACATATATATATATATAATAAATGTGTATGTGTGCAGGTGAATATAAACATATATACATATGGTATACGCCCATACCCTGTCATCCCGTGCCGGGTGCCTTGTTCGACAGCACGACGTCTTCTGCGCTTGCCGCTCTCCTGGGTTGCTTTTGATCAGCCCAGATAAAGTTCCCTGCTGCGGGGGCAGAGAGATGCACATACGTATACATATTATATGTAAAATGTATACACATTTCCTATGCACACATATTACATGTATGAATATATACAGAGGAAATCACACATGGAGTGGTTTTTTTTCAGTATGCCAATTTCATTTCTTGAACAGCAACCCAGTCTCCGGGCGCTTCTTTCCTGTCGGCTCTGCGCTGCAGCGGTCTGGCCAGACACAAACCTGGGCTCCAGTCATCCCGGCGCTTTGACAAGCTGCCGGGGGGAGCAAGCAAACAAGAGCTTCGGTCTTCTGGGAACTTGGGGCTCGCGGTTTCAGGCTAGAGCGCAGCAACAGCAGTGCTTCGAGCCAATCTGGTTTTGAACCAATGCCGAGTTCGCTCCTCAACTGCAACCTGCAGATACTGTAGCTATCTTGCTCACCCGCAACTGACTGAACCATCAAGCTTCTGCATGCGCCCGAACCCATCCAAACCCCAGATTTTCCAACCCTAGAAGGCCGAAGGGCGTCTGTGAGAGCTCCCAGGCCAGAAAGGCAGAGGCCAGGGCGGCCAGAAGGGCCCCGGGTCTGCACCGCCGCGCCATGAGTGGAGCGGAGAGGGATCTCTTCGGGGGAGTTCGGGGGCTCGAGCCGGGGCTGTGTGGCCGAAAGCTGGGGTCTGGGGATTGGGGTTTAGGTTGTTTTTTGGGGTTTCGGCAGCGACTTTCAGCTGGCAACCTGCAGGCGTGGCTGTTTTCGATTCTAGAGCTGGGTCCCCTTATCACAACGAAGTTGACTCGCTGATAGACAGGACCCCAAAATTGCCATAAGTTAGGACAACGCCCAGGGCCCAAATACCCTAAACATCCCCACCCCCTTAAGGGGGGGGGGTAACCCCCCCCCCCCCCTTGTCGCCAGCATGAAAAAATTTCAGGATTTTGCTGTTGCCTGGTGGGCCCCCAAGGTCTTTGAAATTTCAGCCAGGGGTTTTGAAGGGGAGGTAGGTAGGTCGAACAATGGCCTGTCCCGATGGTACCACGTCCCCGGCTCTCGCTCTCACCCTCTCTCTCTCACTCTCTCTCTCTCTCTCTCTCTCACTCTCTCTGTCTCACTCTCTCTCTCTCTCTCTCTCTCTCACTCTCACTCTCACTCTCACTCTCACTCTCACTTTCTCGCTCTCGCTCTCACTCGTTTTTGCTCTCGCTCTCACTCGCTTTTGCTCTCGCGCTCCCTCTCTTCGCGCCCAGGCCAATGCAGTTGGCGCGCAAAGCCACCTCAGGATTCCACAGCTAACCAGCTAAAAGCTTCCCCAAGGGGTCCGGGGACTACTCAATACATGGGTGGGAGTCTCTCACTCTCTCTCTCTCTCTCTCTCTCTTTGAGTCTGTGGTCTGTCACGTTCTCCGCCTAGCAAAAAAAAACGCCCTGGGGACGTAGTACCGGGACGGCCTGCCCAGGCAGCAACTGCCCCAGAACCTCCAACAATCTCTAGAGGTGGTATTTATGCGTACTTACGTGATCTTATGTGCTTCGTGGGTTGTTGTTTGTTTCGGTGTGTCTGTTTTAATGGTCTGCAGACATCCTCTGCCTTCCCCTGACGGTTGTGGTCCAGAATTCGATTCTGAAATTATTTTCAGCCGCTTACCCCCCGAATGTTGAAATTTCAGCCTGTTGCACCCACCCCCAGGTTTATCATGCCTCGGCGTCCAGCTAACCGCCTGAAATATTTCAAGGCCTCACCCCCCCCCTAAATTTCAAGGGTTAAGGGGGTGGGGATCCCTAAACCCTAAACCCTAAACCCTAAACCCTAAACCCTAAACCCTAAACCCTAAACCCTAAACCCACTTTTTGTGAGGTCCTTGTCGCCGTGGAGTGCCCGGCACCAGGCGCAGACCGGAGGATCTGGCTTCAAGGGGTCCCAGGTGAGCTCCTGCAATCCGAGGAGGCAGAAAGGGTTCAGGGTTTAGGGTTTAGGGTTTAGGGTTTAGGGGGTTTAGGGGGTTTAGGGGGTTTAGGGGGTTTAGGGTTTAGGGTTTAGGGTTCCGGGACCTCTGAGGATGGCGGGGAGCAGAATTGCCCGACTTTGTTTGAGTAGATACATGTATATCTCTACTGATCATTTACACGTACAGGCATTTAACGGCTTCTTTATTCCCCAAACATTAGACGGTTGGGTCCTAGAAATGCCTTCACTTGGCATACGCTGCTGCCATTGGTAAGACCGCCCGTTGGACAGAAGCGTTGACGGACAAAACGATCCACACCCAAGCGGTACAGTAGGGGTTCTTGCCGCTATGACTTGTCCGCTTTTCCAACTTTTTGCCTAGACAAGGTGGAAGAAGAGGCGAGTCACAGAAAATGTGTTTTCTCTGCATACGCACTGCCGTGTTCAGGGCAATCGGGCAGACTCGAAGCCAAACTTGTCAAAGATCTTTCAAGAATTCCGAAGCTTCCAAGATCTTCCAAGCCTAGAGGAGGATAGAGGAAGAGATGGCGGCCCTCATCCGTTCCTGCATGTGACCATGATCCATGATGACAATGTGGCAGGTCATACGGCCACTTGCCTGCCCCAAACTGGATGTGCCTTAACGTTGCGCTGCAGCTGGAGGTGCTTCTGCAAAGCGGCACTGCCAGGCATCTCGATCATCTTGCTCGCCCGCACAACTCGGTCAATCCAAGCCTTGGCAGCGTTTACATCGCCCAGCGCCGCAGCGAACTGGAAGCCGTCATAGCAGAAGCGCTGCTCGATCACAGGCATTTGGAGCTGTTCGGCCTCGTACAACTTCTCATACTCCCTCACCAGCTTGAGACCGTGCCTTGCATCAACCGCGCCCTCTTGCAAGATGCGCTCGTCTAGCACCTGCATCTGCAAGCGTCTTTGATCTGATGCCTTGGCCTCAGCAGACGGCATCAAGCATGCTTCACAGGCACAATCAAAGCCGAAGGGCTCGCGAAGCTCTGCCTGCCTTTCTGCACGAGTTGCAAGGACCTCCTTATAGGCAATACAGATCTCCTCGCCGCAAACAATGTCACGACAGGCATACAATCGCATGCGATTCTGCTCGCGATCAAAATTGCGATATGCATTTGGCCTGCAAGAATGGTTGACTCGACTGCTCAAATTGAACACGGCCCCTTGCATGGCACCTGCACCCTTGCCGAAGGAATTCGTCATGAACACACCATATGGCGTCTTCTCACCAAGCTCTGACTCGTACCGGTCATAGAGGGACATGATGACAGACTGCTTTTGCTGTGGAAGTTTGCGAAAAGCCGCGGTCACCCCACGAACAGCAACCACAGTTACTTGGGGCCGAAGTTTCTCAAGCATCCTTGCAGGCAAGTCACTTCCGACCTCAACTTTCAAAGGGTAGTGCTCTGCAAACCATGCCTCTGCTGGCGTGGCCTTCGAATTGCCCTTCGCAGCTTCCTGCAAGAGCTCCACACCATCTAGCCTTGGGTCCAAAAGAGGCTTCTCCATCAAGATTGTGTCGCCACGCGGAATGTCACGGCTGGCGACGGCCCCAAGCCCACGCCCTGGCAGCTGCTGAACGTCAAAAGAAGGATCTTCCATATCTTCCGCACAGCTCATCTCAGCCTCAGACTCTGGGGGCGTAGGGGCTCCTTGCAGAGCCGGGTGTCCATGGCCCTGAGAGCCCATCATTAGCGCCATCAAGAATGAGTCCATGCCGCCCATGCCCGGAGTGGATGAGGCCCGGGTAGGCTTTCCAGCCAAACGCTGCACCAGGTTCTTGGAAGCCTCAGCAATCTGATGGCCTCCGAAGCTGCAGTTTGGCCACGATTTCTGACGCGCCATATCGCGGAACATCTTCTGCGTGTTGCTGTCGATGAGCTTGATGGAGTTGTTGTCAAACTTCTCATTGATAAAGTCAACTGCCATGTGCATGGGCGTGTCGTAGTCCGGCCACACGGCCCAGAAGCCACGCATCATGACGCCCCAGAGTGAAATCTCCCAAGGCAGCAATTTGTTGCCATCCGGGCGATAGGTCAAGGCATACATTGCACTGCTCAACCCGGAGTCGGACAGCGCTTTGAACTTAACTGCCATCATCGGGCGAGTGTGGGGCATCAATGACGTCACCTCGAGCAGATTCCAGTCAATCTCTTCAAAGCGTTGGACAACTTTCTTGTACTTCTCCACACGGTCCATGTTGAATTCATCATCGGAGTCCATCTCATATTGCCTGCATCTCGTGGTGAGGCGCTTGAAGTCAAATTTCCCGTATTCCTGATGCGCCTTGACGTCATCCGGGCTGGGACTGTTCAATGGAAGTCCATTTCCTGAACTTGCACGAGCATAACCCTGCCGTCCGAAGGACTGCTTCTGTTCTTCGGCCTTCACGGGAGGCACAATTAATTTCCGGAACAGGGGGACTCGATGTAGACCCCCAAAAATACTACAATCCTTGCTGCGGGACCCCCAAAAAGGTACTCACAATTTTGGGAAACCCCTAAACCCTATACAACCCTTTGTTACCCCTATTTACCCCTTTGTAGGGTACCTGGGACACCCCCCAAGGTGTCGTGGTTTCAACTCTTGGCGCCTGTGATGCCTCGGTGTCGAGCTGCATCTCTGCTGGTGGCCTCTGCTCTTCACACTCTCTCGCCCGCTCCTGCTTGAGCGCACGCCTGACGGCATGCACACTCACTCCCAGCCAGGACGCGATCTCCTTCTGCGAAAGATTCGGCTTCTGCCGATGAAGATTGCAGATGTCGTCAGCCTGTGGGCTGGGCATTGTTAGGCCAGGCAGGCTGGCCAAGGCAGCCACTAAACTACCCACGCGTTTGAAACTCCACAGCTGCAGAGCACACAGCAAAGTCAAGAAACCCAGACACAAACAGGTCTGTTTCTCTCTGCTGCCGCCAGGGCTGGCTGCATGGTGGGCACATGAGCCATTCCTTCAGATGTGTAGCTTACTGGGGGTTGGTAGCGAATATGGAATATACTATATAAGGATTCATAGGGATTATATTCTCAATGCCTTCTCACGGTTTCCCACGTCCCCTTTTCTCCCTTCATGTTGAAAAAGCATTACTTTTATAAGCTTCGAAGTTCTGGTCGACACTGTTTGTGGTCTTAGCTGGTGACTGGTGAAATATCATATTGTGTTAGATGATGACTTGTACTGAAATGCCTTTTGCTATATCAACATATGCCATTCAACTACTAGACCGCGTTCCGTTCGCATCTCAGAGCTCCTGCTGCAGAGCATCGCAGGTGCCCTTCCGCCCACCAAAGACCACAGCGGTTTCGCCGGGCTTCCTGGGCTGTTCTTGGAACCCCTGCAAGAACTGTACTTGGTGCGCCCTTCTAAAGAGAACATACGGAACCTACTACAATTACTACAAGAAAAGATATGTTCAAGGTCCGGCCAGCTTCAGCTGCGAAGCAAGCACGCGCTTAAGCTCAACGAGCTTGTCTTCTTCTCGCACAAGGCTGACCGTTTGCTTAATCTTGGTGTTGGTTGCAAGCCGCCCAACCCCCTGGCCGACTTGGATCTGCACGGCGCTCCTGGTGAAGAACAAGGCGCTCTTGCGCACATCTTTGGGCCACGTCGCGGTGAAGAACAGAGTCTGCCTCGCGCTGCCCTTGACCACATCCTGGCAGTCCCCACCTGCTGGGCATTGCCCCACAATCCAGCGGATCTCCGGCTCGAAGCCCATGTCGAGCATCCGATCCGCCTCGTCCAAAACCACGTACGAGACCGCCTCGACGATCACAACAGGCGCCGCCCCCTTCTTAGGGTCACCGGTCATGAAGTCGCGCAGCCGACCGGGTGTGGCCACAAGCAAATCAATGCCCGATTTCAGCTCTGACACTTGTGGCCCCTTGGGCACGCCTCCATAAATCCCCATGGCTCGAACAGACCCCTCTGCAAACTTGAGGGCCTCAACGCAGATCTGCTGAACCAGCTCACGCGTGGGAGCCATCACCAGCGCATAGGGCTGCGCTGGGGGCCGGTCATCTTTGCCCGCGCCCTGGTGGATGGTCTTCTTCGGGCCCCACTTCGCAATGCGTGCCATGGCCGGGAGCAGGTAGGCGCAGGTCTTGCCACTGCCTGTCTCAGCAATTGCCACCAGGTCCTGCAGCGCAAGATGCGACGACGGGAGCATGCTGTGCCCACCCTCTGCCCCCCGGGACAGAGTCAGGCCGCTACTAAGCCTTCACAAGACGAGAAGAGAGAGAGAGAGAGAGAGAGAGAGAGAGAGAGAGAGAGAGAGAGAGAGAGCGAGAGAGCGAGGGAGCGAGAAAGCCAGAGAAAGAGACAGAGAAAGAGAGAAAGAGACTGAGAAAGAGAGAGAGCGAGAGAAGAGAGACAGAGAGAGAGAAACGAGAACAAGAAAGGAAAGCGCTTAATTAAGAACAGCAGAACAAAGAACCCACTGGAGTGACACAACGAGGAATCATCTGCTCGCGGTCCTGGCCCTGGGCAGCCACTGGCCAGGCCTGTGCCTGGATGGGTGTCGGGGCATCGTAGCCCTGGTCGTACATGGCCTCGATGAGATCTTTGCCCAAACAGGTTTCGGCACTCGTGAAGGAGTCCAGGGGCGGTGGGCAAAGGCCTTTCACTGCCACCCGGTGCTTCTTCCGGTACTCCTCGGCCCTCTCCACATCCTCCCGGCCCACTCCTGGCGGGTAGCGCGCCGCTTCCTCGTCCCCCTCGTCCAGCTCGGTGGCTTTGCGCTTCGGAGCGCTCTTCGCTCGCTTCAGGCGCTTGGCCGGCCGGGGCCTCTCGGTCTTGGAAGGGCCCTCCTTGCCGCCGCTTTTTCGCACCTTGCTGGCCTTTGGTGGTCCTGGCTTCTCTGGCTTTCCTGGCTTTCCTTGCTTTCCCTTCTTGTATTTCTGCCGCATGGCGCCACACGGCTCGGCGTGGCCTACTTGACGAACTGATGTATTTCACGTGTTAGCCGCAAGCTTGAAAGCTCACCGACCTCCACAACTCCCAAACGACATCATTACATCGATCTGGCTTAGGCCTCTCATTGACGCTATGAAGGGTAGGGTAGGCAGGTCACGAATTCAGGTCTGGACAACGCTGATTTCTTTGCTCTGCTCGAAGACTGCACATTGCACATCTTGCGTTTATGGCATGGCGCAAGAGAGATCAAGATAGTCCAAGCTACGACTCCACCGCACTGCGACCCGACAAGGTACCCCTGACCTAGTCGCTCTGCAAACAACGATTGGCCTCGGTAGGGAAGTCACCAAATTAACCGCAACTTACAGCCGCCCGACTCCACGTCATGAGCCTGGGAACCACCAGCTTGGTTGGCCCGTTAAAGCCGCTGAAAAATATCCGTGATTCTGACCCTCTTAACCCCAAAAAAGGTGAGGAATATGAAATATTTTAAGGGCCTGCCCAGCCGTGAACCTCTAAGAGATATGGGGGTTTACGATCTTAGGGGTATGGAACCCTACGATTTAAGGGATCTAGAATAGGGGTCTCCCCTTAGTTTTCGTCAAACATCCATATGGCGAAGAGTAAGGCTCCAGCTGGAGGCTCCAGGCAAGCTCTTGCCGTTCTTCGCCGCCTCCTGCTGGGCCTGCTCCCAGCCTGCAGCCAATGGCAACACTCTCGGGGATTTCACCCGGCAAAACCTGACAACGCCGTGCAATATCGGGGCCTGAATGGTTAGAATGGGTTTTTTGGTGAGGGGCGGGGGGGGGGGGGGGGGGGTTATTGTGGAAAAATCACAAAGGGACCAGAAGGGAATGTTATGAGTATTCATTCCCACCCCTATAATCCCCTATAGTAACCTTCTAAGAAGTCCTAGAAAGCCTCCAAGCAGTCAGCGAGCATGGCTCCACTGGGAAAGGGACATGCTTCTCTGGCGGTTGTTAGAACCCCCACACCCCCCTAGACCCCACAAAGTTTTAACCCTACACCCCCCCAAAACCCACCTGCACCTAGAACGACGCTGCCTTGTCGGAACAGGGCACTCAGCGGAATTCCTTCCCCATGTCGAACGGTCGAACCTCAAAGGCTGCGACTCTGCGGGGCGTTCCAGATTATAGTCCCCTTCAGGGGACTAGGGTCTCTCGTCTCTCTACTGTTTTGGTGTTCCTAATACAATACGGAACCTCATCTTTAGGGTACCCAAGACGGGACGTAGAACAAAAAACTGCCCGTTCGCGTTGCTGGTTCGAGGGCCGAGGGCTTTAGGGTTCCAATCGGGCTTAGGGGGTGTCGAATTTTACTCGCAGGGTTAGGGATAGGGGCGGCTCACTAGGGATCAGGGGTTACTTGGCGTCTGTTGAATGAAAGTCGACCTCATATACCAAAACGATATATTCCTTATTATCGGTACTGTACCCTATCATCCTCGAGCCAGAAGCCAGATTTGCGGCACCTCCCAAGCCACAGCCAATGAACCCTAATTCCGAAGCCCTAGAAAGAATCATAAGGGGGCGTCCTTTCGCTCCTTAGATTGGTAGCCCAGGAACGATATTAAAATAAGTGCACCCTTTTGTAGGTTGGTTACTTTACGAGGGAACATTAAACCCCAAAAAAAGGGAAAGGGGTACCACTGGACTACACCCTAAACCCTAAACCCTAAACCCTAAACCCTAAACCCTAAACCCTAAACCCTAAACCCTAAACCCTAAACCCTAAACTTTACATGCTGGGCCATGTGGCTCGCCGAGATCGGGAGCTTCCCGCTGGGTGCCGGGGGCTCCGGGTTGAGCTCTCCGCCTCGAAGGCACACAAATGGATGGCTTTAGGGTTCAGGGTTCAGGTTTCAGGGTTCAGGGTTCAGGGTTCAGGGTTTAGGGTTTAGGGTTTAGGGTTTAGGGTTTAGGGTTTAGGGTTTAGGGTTTAGGGTTTAGGGTTTAGGGTTTAGGGTTTGGGTTTAGGGTTTAGGGTTTAGGGTTCAGGGTCTGAGGTGCTTGGGTTTGGGGTTTCCGGTTCAGGTTTCGGGCCTTGGGACTTTGGAGAAAATTAATATGCTACTTGCTCTGCAGATTTTGCAAATATACCCCCTCCCCTGGATTAAAAAAGCAAAATCCCGAGGAACGAAATTTGGCTTCAGGGTTCTCTGAGGAGGCCGGCCCATAAGCCCTCAACCCTCAACCCCCTAAACCCTAAACCCCAAACCCTAAACCCTAAACCCTATAGGGTTTATAAACATTAAACCCTAAACCCTAAATCCTAAACCCTTAACCCTTAAACCCTAAACCCTAAACCCTAAACCCTAAACCCTAAACCCTAAACCCTAAACCCTAAACCCTAAACCCTAAACCCTAAACCCTAAACCCTAAACCCTAAACAATAAACCCTAAACCCTAAACCCTAAACCCTAAACCCTAAACCCTAAACCCTAAACCCTAAACCCTAAACCCTAAACCCTAAACCCTAAACCCTAAGCCCTGCCCATCTCTCTTGGTCCCTGGCTGGGTGTGGTCGTGCTCGCCACCTGTGCGTTCCGCGCCTCTTGCTCCTGCTGGGTGCGCTCCCAGCCTGCAGAGAAGTACTCTTTTTACAAGAGAGGCTGCGGGTTTAGGGTTTAGGGTTTGGGTTTAGGATTTAGGGTTTAGGGTTTGGGGTTTGGGGCTTTGTTTAGGGGTTTCAAGGTTTGGGGTGCAGGATATCTAGGGCTTTAGTGTTTTGGGGTTAGAGTTCTAGGGTGGGAAGTAAACCGTCTTGGCCCAACATTCGAAGCTCCGGTGGATTCTTTGGATCTCAACATGTAGGCAGCCCAACATGGCCTTGACCGATCACTCTACTGCAGCCCTCACCGCAACTAGATCGGTGCGCTAGACCTTTGCACCGCCTTGTCGGAAGAGGGCGGCCAGAGGAACATCGTCGCCATGTCGTACAGTGGTACCTCATGGAGTTGAATCCTAGGACAGGCAACCTGCCAACCCTAAACCCTAAACCCTAAACCCCCAAACCCTAAACCCTAAACCCGAAACCCTAAACCCTAAACCCTAAACCCCCAAACCCTAAACCCTAAACCCGAAACCCTAAACCCGAAACCCTCAACCAATGTCGATGCCATATCATGCCAGCAGTGTACTCTCCAAGGGTAGATACATGGCCCCCTGGATCTGGGCCCTCAAAAGGCGGACCCCTCTTATATACCCGATACAAACTTACAGGACCCATACATCAGAACCCTTTAAAGGAAGGTCTAAGGGACCCTATGGAGGTTTCCGAACTTAGGGGGTGCCTTATTGGGGTCCTTGCTATAGGGAGATCCTACTATTTGGGGATCTTTCTCGGGGGTCTCCCGTATAAACCCTAAACCCTTAAACCCTAAACCCTAAACCCTAAACCCTAAACCCTAAACCCTAAACCCTAAACCCTAAACCCTAAACCCTAAACCCTAAACCCTAAACCCTAAACCCTAAACCCTAAACCCTAAACCCTAAACCCTAAACCCTAAACCCTAAACCCAAACCCTAAACCCTAAACTACCCTTAGACACTTCCAAAAGCTCGGGGGTGCCTAGGCCCGCCCAAGAGCTTCTTGTGTCACAGTCTCCTTCCACCTCGCAGGGCTTGGCGACAGGAACCCTTTCTTCATAGGGTTTAGGGTTTAGGGTTTAGGGTTTAGGGTTTAGGGTTTAGGGTTTAGGGTTTAGGGTTTAGGGTTTAGGGATGGCAACCCTAAATTTCCTTTTCCCAAAACCTAAAGCCGCCTGAGCCCTAAGATCCTGGGATGTGATCCTACCAGCCGAACCCGAATCCTTAATTGAACAGCCCAGTGAGCCCCTACCAGCCTCTGACAAAAGAAACCCCATCCTAACCCTACATGGCCCACATCATCCCCAAATGGTCCGAAATCCCAAAACCCTAAGCCCTAAAACCCTGAACCCTAAAACCCTGAACCCTAAAACCCTAAAAACCCAAAAACCCTAAAACCCTTAAAACCCTAAAACCCTAAAAACCCTAAAACCCTTAAAACCCTAAAACCCTAAAAACCCTAAAAACCCTAAAAACCCTAAAAACCCTGAACCCTCGACCCTAAATCCTAAACCCCCAAACGAGCGTGGGGCAAACCGCGCGTCGCTGATCCCGGCCTTGCCCTGAGAATCCGGGCGCGGCCAGGATGGCTCGGCCTGATATGGGCTTTAGGGCTCAGGGTTTAGGGTTTAGGGTTTAGGGTTTAGGGCTTGGCTTGGGTCACGGCTGAGGGAAGTTGTTAACCTAAACCCGAAACCATAAACCCAAAAACCCCAGCCCTAAACCCTAAACCCGAAACCCTAAACCCCAAGCCCTAAACCCTAAACCCGAAACCCTAAAACCCTAAGCCCTAAACCCTGCCTGCGGCAGGGAAGTCCGGAGTGGCGCTTTCTGGGAGGCCCCGATGCCCTGGCGTGGTGCCGGGAGCGGGCCGGCAGAGGCCTCCCGACAAAACGCGCAGGGGCTCTGGGACTCTGAGGGTTTGGGGCTTCAGCCATGGAATCCTGAAGGGGTCTAGTGTTTAGGGTTTAGGGTTTAGGGTTCTAAATCGTGAAATCCTGAGGTGGTCTCCTGGCTCGGGGGGGTACACTCGGTGGTCTCCTCCAGAGCGGCCTGCGAGAGCAGCTGTGACTCGTCGAGGGCGGGCGCCTGAAGCACGGGCGGCAGAGAAGTGCCCCTCGGCCTGGCAGTGAGCTCATGGCTGTGCTTGCCCGTGGTTTTGCAGCCTGCAGACTTCTCAAACCCAAGCCCCGCAGCCTTCCAGAGTGGTTCAGTGTCTGTGGCAGCTTTCTCCTGCACAGGAGCTACTGCAGAAATTGGCTGCAACAGCTGATGCCGACATAACCCTACAGGCCTGAAGGTGTGGCCCACAGTGACGGGTGCATTGTAGATTTCGGCTGTCTTGTGCAGCTTCCTCCTGTCGCTCGCGGGGAAACACATGTCCTTACTTTGTGACGAGTGCCAGGGATCGATGATATCTCAGAACCGACATCCAGCGTAACAATGCCGGAGAGACATCGCCAATGCTTGCCGCTGCTTGGCAGCCAGTGGGGAGGTCGACTCCTCCGAATGTGTGGGGATGGGGGGGGGGGCGGGGGGCAGTGGAAACCCTATTATGGCCCTGTGATCTAGTAACTCTGAACCCCGAAGCCCCCGAGATCCTAGCCCTTGGCCATGAGCAGTTTTCGGCAGGGGTGAACGCCCATTGAAGTCGGAGCTCACTAAGCCACACAACCAAAAAAAACGCCGACCTCGGGTTTGTTCGCCTCCTCTGCTTTGGGCTGCGATTCTTTGCTGAGGCACCTTGGCTGGGCAGCGGAGGAACCCCCTAACTGCCCAAATCCTGACTACTTTTGCAATTTGTTAGAAGCACGCTGCCTGTGCACACTCTCATGCACCCGAAAGCCCGGAAGCCTTCCTGCTGTCCTGCTGTCACCCAGTGCTAGAACGAAGCAAAAAAACAAAACCTAAACCCCGAAACCCCGAAACCGCTACCCCCCTGAAGCCCTAATCCTTAAACCCTAAACCCTAAACCCTAAACCCTAAACCCTAAACCCTAAACGCTAAACCCTAAACCCTAAACCCTAAACCCTAAACCCTAACCCTAAACCCTAAACCGGCCCCTGCTCCCGAAACCTTAAACCTTTGCACCTGGTCGACGCTGGTGGTGACCGGCCTCTGGCGGGCCTTGCCTGAGCTGCAAAGAAGTCCGATGCTGCGATGCAACATTGTATATATATATATATATTTATTTATTTATTTATTTATTTATTTATATTTTTTTATTTATTTATTAACAATATACAATTTATTAATTTATTATTTTTTATTTATGATTTACTGATACATAGAAATATATATGTATATATATACATACACATAAACCCACCCACGTACATGAGGGAGATTCAAGAGATACACAGCTTCAGAATTCACTTAACATACGTGCTTTCCGCGCGCGTGCGCAGGAATGAAATCGCGCAGAGGGCAGTGGACACACAGACAAATGCAACAGCAGCCTCTGAGCTCGGCACGTTGCATGGTAGAGGCTTCAACTTAGTTTTGACGCGCTGACACATGCTCAGATTCATGAAGGCATGGCCACGGCCCCTATAGGTGTCTGAATAATGATTCCCTTGTGGTCCCAAACATTATAGTGTACTATAATAATAATAATCCCCCCCAAAACCCTCGTCTAGTTAAGCCCCCCCTATATTACCCATCCTAGCTGGCCACCTTGCATGCATACTCTTCCAGCTGGGGGTGGCTCTTTTCCCGGGGGGACAACTGAGGCTGAAGCCTCAGAGACGCGTCGAGCCTTGGAGTCAGGAGATCGTGAAATCTAAAGACTGCGAAGCTTTCCGATGCCCCCTAAACCCTAAACCCTAAACCCTAAACCCGAAACCTGAAACCCTAAACCCTAAACCCTAAACCCTAAACCCTGAGCCCAACTCCCCAGCCAAAGCTGAGGTCCTGGCTGGAGGCTCGCGGCGCGCATCCGCCTTCCAGAATGGCCGGCGCCGTGCATAACAGGAACCTGCTTGGGGTTGTTTAGGGTTTAGGATTTAGGAACCCTAAACCGAGTCAGGTTCAGGGTCTTGGGGGCTTGGGCTTTGGGGGGCTTAGGGACTTAGGGGCTTCACGGGTTTAGGGCTTTAGGAGATGGGCTGCAGGCGCTTAAGCCTGCAAGTTATATCGGCTTCAAGGGTTTGGGGACCTGGGAGGGAACAAGCGGGGTTTAATTTAAGGGGTCCACAGGGTTCAGGGTTCGGCTCATTCATTGCCGGCTCCTAGACCGAAAATCCCAGGAAACTGAAAACCAAAACCCAAACACGAGCTCAAAGATGGGTCAAGGGTTGGCACTTCCGAGCCCGGGACCTGCAGATCGAGGTACTGGTGGCGCAGAGGGGACCTGCGAGGTCTCGGAGCTCTCTGAGGGTTTGAGGGTGTGTAAGGGTTTGTAAGGGTTTGTAAGGGTTTGTAAGGGTTTGTAAGGGTTTGTAAGGGTTTGTAAGGGTTTGTAAGGGTTTGTAAGGGTTTGTAAGGGTTTGAGGTTTTGAGGGTTTGAGGGTTATTTTGAAGATTTGAGTTTAGGGCTAACCCCTACACGCGCGAGCCCACAGGCCCCACCTCCCCGCCAGGTCCTCACACTCCCTGCCAAACTCCCCATAATGGCTCCGCAAAGGCTCCCTCAGCCCTAAACCCTAACAACTAAACCCCAAACCCCAAACCCTAAACCCCAAACCCCAAACCCCAAACCCCAAACCCTAAACCCTAAACCCTGAACCCTGAACCCTAAACCCTAAACCCTAAACCCTAAGCCCGGTACAAAGCCAGTATAGCCGCACCAGCCGCTGGGTGCCTTCGAGGGCTGTGCCGTGGAGGCCGGCGCCGGAGTTTGGGCAACCAGCACCTTGGCAAAGAACTTGGGGTTTAGGGTTTAGGGTTTAGGGTTTAGGGCTTAGGGTTTAGGGTTTAGGGTTTAGGGTTTAGGGCTTAGGGCTTAGGGTTTAAACGATTTGGGGTTTAGGGTTTGAAAGGATTCGGGGTTTAGGATTTAAGGGATTTGGGGTTTAGGGTTTGAAAGGATTCGGGGTTTAGGGTTTAAGGGATTTGGGGTTTACGGGATTTGGGGTTTAAGAGATTTGGGGTGTGGGGTATAAAGGATATTATCCACCAGTAAATGTCGGGGAAAGAAGTCCTAGGGCTCAGGATTCAGTGCTCAGTGTTGCAGGTTAAACCAAAGAGGATCGGCCGCCTGATATCACTGCAGCAACCATTTACGCCTTGTGTCTGCCTTACCATTCAGTTGCGTTGTCGAACATTCCTCTTGCAAACTTCTGGACTGTGGAACTAAGCCCTATAAACCCCAAAACCCTACACCCTAAACCCTAAAGGCTATAAACCCAAAAATCCCTACACCGTAAACCAGCCTCTTGCAAGTCAATGCTACAGTGCTACAGCTGCTGGCACTTCCCGGTCACAAGATGCTGTTACCCCCGGGTGCCCGGCATTGGTGTCGACCCCTTCTGGTAGCTTTGACGACCTCGGTTGAAGGTGACTCTGCTACTTATGGTCTTAAGACCTCGGGTCTGCAAATGGTGTCCAAAGTGCAAAAGCGGGAAGGCACAAGAACGAAGGTCACGAAGAGCAAGGTAGGAGTCAACCACTTAACATCCCTCAGCTCCGCTCTGGAGGCCTTGTTCCTGAGGCGAAGGCTTGAAGGGGCCTTGGGAGTTGAACGTGGGCTCCACCTCGCGCCTGGACATGCAAAAGTCTTCGCAGGCGTTCCCGCGGCTGTTTCAAGGCACCACCCTCCTCAACCCTGAGATGCTTGCAGCGTGGACCTCCCTCAACATAGGCCCCCTGGTTCTTAGTAGGGAATGAGGTAATTAGGACCCCATAAAGCAATATATATATATATATATATATATATATATATATAGATATAGATATACATCTACCCTTTTAAGGGACTATATCGGGTACCTCACTCCCTCATTCCCCACTAAGAACCAGCCGGTGGGCGCAACCCTGCGTGGGGCTACAGCCATGGTGGGCCTAATCAGGTTCTTCACCTTGCGGCGGAATCCTGATGCGGCCTGGGTGGCAGGTCGGCTCTGGGGTTGGTTAGGGCTTCTTAGGGCTTTAGGGACTTTAGGGACTTTAGGGACTTTAGGGCTTTAGGGCTTTAGGGCTTTAGGGCTTTAGGGCTTTAGGGCTTTAGGGCTTTAGGGCTTTAGGGCTTTAGGGCTTTAGGGCTTTAGGGCTTTAGGGCTTTAGGGCTTTAGGGCTTTAGGGCTTTAGGGCTTAGGGTTTAGGGGGTTCGGGCTTAGGGCGTTTGAGAACGTTCAGGGCGAAGAATCAGGGGCCCAATCTCCAGAGTACAAGGGCGTATTCTGACAGCGCTCGAAAACTCTAAACCCGTAAAACGCTCCAAACGAAGCCCAGAAAAAACCGAAAACCTGAGCCTTAAGCCCCAAAAAAACCCTCCCTAAACCCTAAACCCTAAAAACCCTGAGGCCCGCCCGCCTCCCTTGCCTCTGGTGGGGCCACTGGGAGTTCCCTCTTCGGCTCGTCCGAGCGCATGGGCCGGATCTCGCTTGACTCAGATGTCTTATGCACACCCCCGATGTTTCAGGGAGCTTGGGGCGTATCAGGGTTTCGAGTTTCGAGTTTAGGGTTTAGGGTTACAATGCCTCCAGGGCTCATAGCGTTGGGGTCTGGGTTCTTGGGTTCTATGAGGCTTATAGAACAGACTCAGTTGACGTCTACGCTTTGAGGGTTGCGGAGTGTTTTGGGGTTTCTGGAGCCCGGAGCGGGAGATGGTCAGACAGCCTCTTGCCGTTGAAGTCTAAGCTTTCTTTCGGCTTTGAACCCTGAACATTTGTTATGGGGTGGTGGGTTCAGGGTTCACCCTAAACCCTAAACCCTAAACCCTAAACCCTAGACCCTAAACCCTAAACCCTAAACCCTAAACCCTAAACCCTAAACCCTAAACCCCGATCAGGGCTTTAACATTTTGGACCCTGAGCCCTAAACCTGAGCCCTGAGCTGCGAGCCGAACAGCTGGTGAAGAGCGACCACTGTGGCGGCCCAAGTCGTGTTGATGCTGGGTTTAGGGTTTAGGGTTTAGGGTTTAGGGTTTAGGGTTTAGGGTTTAGGGTCTAGGGTTTAGGGTTTAGGGTTTAGGGTTTAGGGTTTAGGGTTTCGGCTTTAGGGTTTAGGGTTTAGGGTTTAGGGTTTAGGGTTTAGGGTTTAGGGTTTAGGGTTTAGGCCTCAGGGTCGAAAGGGGTTTAGAAGCCTAGCCACTGCAGACAGAGCGCTGGCTCATCCCACCGGTGTAGGGTGAAAGGGGTTTAGGGTGCCAAGGATGCCTTATAACGTACCCGGAAAAGACTATGTTCCTTGCATTGCGGGTTTAGGGTTTAGGGTTTAGGGTTGAGGGTTTAGGCATGCTCTCAGGCATATCCCAAGAGCGCAATGCACGTTCAAGAGGCCATTGGTTCACGGAGTTCTGCAATTCACAACGATTATCGCACTTCGCTGCGCCCTTCATAGGTGCTCGAGCCAAGATATCCGTCGCTGAAAATTGTGCAAACTCGATTGCAAGAACATGCTAGGGTTTAGGGTTTAGGGTTTAGGGTTTAGGGTTTAGGGTTTAGGGTGTAGGGTGTAGGGTTTAGGGTCCAAGTTTTTCGGGTTTATAGGAACCACAAACAGGGTACCCATTTCGGAAACCCTCATATTGGGAACCCTCTTGAACCAATATGTAAAGGCCCTTGCTTAAAGGCCCTGAAGGTCTTACCGGTCGGAACTCTTTTGCCACGCATGCCAGATCTACACCCTTTGGGCTCACTCGAGGTCCAGTAACTCTGAGACCTGACTGCAAGCAGCACCGCAGTAGGAAGGATCATATGACTGGCATATTGGTGGGTGTACATGGGGCTCCTCCTGTTTCAGGCAAGAAAGGCCCCTACCGAAACAAGGTCTACACCTGACACCCCAACAGTTGAACAAAATCTGCGCGCCCCTGGCTGTGCTGCTCCGGTCTACACCCATAGCCCTAACCCTAAACCCTAAACCCTAAACCCTAAACCTTTAACCCCTAAAGCACGAAGAAAAAAGACTGAAGGAAGTCGGCCTTCCAGTCCTCGTACGTGTTGTCCGGCAGGAAACGGCGGATGACGAAGGGGATGACACGCTGAATGAGCTCCTGATATCTGATACACATAATAATGTAATGTCAAGTAGAATTGGTGGTACAAATTATAGTATATCATCTGATGAGTTTTTAGACTTGATACAGATCTTTAGCAAAGAGGAGGGGAGTCGGGCATACTCTCTCCTTCTCTGCGATCAAGAGTGGGTCTGTCTCCCCCTCTAGAGTCACCATCACTGGCGCCTTGGTTCAGAAAGCTCTGCCCTCGATCCTGAAGCAAGTCGCGTTGAACCACAGTCGCATCGTGCCAGCTCATCCGACGAGGCTGAGGCGTTCATGCTAATCTGCAAGGCCCGCGCGCCCAGGATCCGCGCCCCTTGGATTTAGCACTGCGCATGCCTTCCTTTCAAGTTGCTGCTGACTCACATGCCGTCTGAGGCCATCGCTTTCATACTTTGTGAGATATGGGGTGGTCTTTCTTGGACCTTCAGAAGCCTGCGCAGTGACATACTGCGAAGCCAACACTCCAGCGCACGCGTGTCTGCGATAGTCCCCGAACCCGACAAGCCAGCCTGTACACCCCAAAAAAGCCTTCCAAACCCTCAAAATTCTCATGGACCGGAATAACCTTTTCGACCCTATGTTGTTCAAGCTTGCGCAAAAGCTTCTCTGAAAAAAGGGGCTTAAGGATTAAATCCCGAACCCTAAACCCGAACCCTAAACCCTAAAGCCCGAAACCCTAAAACCCTAAAACCCTAAAACCCTAAAACCCTAAAACCCTAACACACTAAAACCTAAACCCTAAAACCCTAAAACCCTAAACCCTAAAACCCTAAAACCCTAAAACCCTAAAACCCTAAAACCCTAAAACCCTAAAACCCTAAAACCCTAAAACCCTAAAACCCTAAAACCCTAAAACCCTAAAACCCTAAAACCCTAAAACCCTAAAACCCTAAAACCCTAAAACCCTAAAACCCTAAAACCCTAAAACCCTAAAACCCTAAAACCCTAAAACCCTAAAACCCTAAAACCCTAAACCCTAAAACCCTAAAACCCTAAAACCCTAAAACCCTAAAACCCTAAAACCCTAAAACCCTAAAACCCTGAAACCCTAAAACCTAAAAACCTAAAACCCTAAACCCTGGATCCCCTCAACCCTGCCCAGGGCTTTCTCAAGGTTGCACCTTCGGCTTCTGCTCCTGCCGATCAGCACCGAAACGCCACGGATTGGGATGTTCCCCCTTATACGAACAGTCCTTAAAAGGGACTATAATCGCGGGTACTCTAATCCCTACTAAGGAACCCTAAACCCTGAAACTAACAGTCCTTAAAGGGACTACAACATCCCTACCAAGGACTGTTAGCAGCAGGGGGAACGTCCGAAACAGTGGATCTACAGCGACAGCGCTGATTCGGCTTCAAGACTTCGGGCTTCGTGGTCTAGGGGCTTTGGGGGGAACCCTTGACCCCTAAACGCAAAAAAAAACCCAACCCTAAAAATCCTCCGTGTGGCAACTATTGTACTTCCGGGCTCGTTAGGTTTGTCCAGCCAACTCTGAGGGCAACCTCTGGAAAGAACCCTGGCAGACGCTCCGGGTTGTCGTCTTCTCGGACTTCAACTTGCTCCTCCTTGCAGGAGCGCAATGGCAGGATCACCATCATGACGAATAAAAACACGGTCTAATTCAATAATGTTCATACTTATAGACATATATATATATATATACCATATAGAAAAACAACATGAAAATAAGCAAATCATGCGAAATAGTAACAATAAGAGCAAGGAGGGCCCAGGCCTCGTCAACTTCATCCTCGTCATCGAAGTCCTCATTGTCGTCCTCCTGGGCTTTAGGGTTTAGGGTTTAGGGCTTAGGGTTTAGGGTTTAGGGTTTAGGGTTTAGGGTTTAGGGTTTAGGGTTTAGGGTTTAGGGTTTAGGGTTTAGGGTTTAGGGCCCGTCTTCCAGAGGCCCTGCACGCGGAAGGCTGTTGCTTTTACACGTTGGAGCTGGGTTGTCCTGGCCATCCTCCATGCCTCACGGTTGCAGCAACTCTTCTGGTACAATTGCTGTCAAAAAAATCTGGGCACCTTCTTGTATCAAGTCGAGGCTTGAGATCCTCCTAGCAAGCTGAGCTCGAGGCTCGATCTGAGAGCGGCGGAGACCACGCTCTACTTTCACAGAAATGACCAGTGGCCAGCGGCTTGAGGAAGTCTTCATGTGCGATGTTACAAGGGCTGGGGTGGGTAGGGGGGGTTCAACCATCTGTCTCGCTGCTCTTACTCTCCGTGCTACCAGCTGCGTCCGATTCTCTGAGCCAAGACCGATGCAGCACATGCAGCGGGTGGCTTCATGACAGAGGTAAAATTCTGGGGCTTGCCCGACTTGATTCAGCTCGATTCACCTCGACCAGTGACCAGCTCTGTTTTTGCAGCGACGCTGTGCTCCACATGCCCCTCTGACCTCAGCCCGTATGCTGTGTCATCTCAGCCCAGTGGAGGAGCTGGCTTTGGAAAGGAAGCCCCCCCCCCCTCCCCAGCCCCAAAGGAGTCTCCTACACAAAAGCCCACCTCTGTGCCACGATCACAATCGTGGCAACCCGCATCGTACCTACCAAGCAATGATCCAGCCAGCTCAATGGTCAACGGTGCAAACATCGAGCAGCAGTAGCATGGACACGTGGAGAACCACGTACGACGCTGATTCTGACAGTTCCAACGACTGAATGACCAGCACTGGGCCGCTGCAATAGTTCTTGAACTGGCAGGTTATCATTGTGACCATGTCTTTTCTTTTGGGCCGCGCTCCTGCCGCACTAGCAGATACTCGCAGGCTCCTAATTGCCGGAAAACACTGAGACCGGCACCTAAGCTGCACATGCTGCGCCCCGATGTTTCAAAAGGAACCGAGGCAAACAGGATGGCTCACAAGCAAAAGATTTGGGCGCGACCGTATGGAAAGGACAGGCGAGGGAGAGAGGTACGAGAATTCGGGCGAGATTACAGAGCGGGTTGGAGTTGTTTTTCCCTACCACGCTACTCGGCGTGCGGGGCTGTTCAATTTAAACTTAGCAGTTCTCCTAGCCCGGGTTTCTTTCGTCCTCGCCCGCGCCACCTAGCTCCGGTCTCTTGCTGCTCCATCCGCAGGGAATCCCGCAGTGTGCCTGGAGTGCGCCTACCGTCGCCCCCAGAGAGTCCGGCAGAGTATCCCTGGCTATCCGTGGCGCCTTCCCCCCAAAATTCGGCAGAGAATCCCGGAGAGTATTCCTGGCCGCCTTCGTCCGGCATCTGCTTCAGCAGGCCTGTAGAGACAGTATACAGTATGCCGAGTCTTCAGCATTGGACCTCAACAGAGGCAATGGTGCACCTATCATCAGTCAATTCTTGTGCTTGAACCATGGCATTCTGCCACCGAACGCGGCAGGAATTTTGTGGTCATGACCAGGTCCACCAGATCCAACTTGCAATCTCCCGATACCCCAAGACCCCAAGGGACAAATCTCGAGTGCTTGCTCGGTTTCGCCAATGGTCCAATAGTGAGCTGTTCTTCATATGAGCCTTTAGTCTGAACACCTCGCATTTAGGCACCTTCAACGGACAGTCGCTACCACGAAGTGGCACCATCACGAGAGTGGCCAACTTTCAAGTCGGGTGATCTGAGGCTGTGGAGCCTTAATCTGAGTTGCAGATGTCATGACCACTCTTCATTTGCAATACACCCCATAGAGCCAATGCATCCTAACTCGATACTCCAAACTAAATGCTTTCACGTTGGAGACATTATGTTTCGAGAAACGTCACATCATAGGGGGGGAGGGAGAGGGAGAGAGAGAGAAAGAGAGAGAGACAGAGGAAAGGGAGGACAAGAACATGGAAAGTCGTTCTCAAGTCCGTGGAGTGGGGTGTGAAGGACAGGGCGGCTCCGAAAGTGAGGCGCGAAAGGGTATAGGGGCAATGGTTTGAGGGTGGGGGAGAGCAAGAAAGCTGCAAGAGAGAGCCATCCGAGGGTGAGAAGGGTGTGGCCCTCACATCTTGGAGCCGGCGGTGTAGGAGCGACAGCAGGCAGCACTCACCTGTCAGCGTTTTGCAGTCGCGGGCCTTTTTTTGGTAAATTTTTGGTGGGCGTTGGCTTGTAGGGTCGTCTGACCCGAGCGCAAGCAGCAAGCAGCAATACGGAACATGCGAGGACAGTTCATTGGTTGGGTGGGACCACTGCGCCGACGCTGGCTCCTCTAACTGGGGCCGTATAGCGGTGTAATAATGGGGTGGTTGTCAAAATTATAATCCCTTTTGGGGGTACCCTAAATATTAGGTGCCGTATTATAATAGGGATCCAAAAAGGCACCGTAACTTTGACAACCACCCAATGAGAATATGACACCGCTCAGCTACCCACCAGCCTGCCAAGCTCCGCCCGCCATCACTGCCTGTGCAAAGCAATCGACTTGCACGCAGCTACCCCTCTTTGCCTCCCGAGAGGTGAGCCTCGATCTCCTCCACGGTTCGGGGAACACAGGTAAGAACGCGGCAGCCGTTGCTGGTGATCACTACCTTGCTGCAGGGCTCCGACTTCAGTGGAACCGCTCGGGGGGGGCATTCTGACAAAGAGCCATCGTAGTCAAGACAAAAGAAAGGTGCCCTAATGGCACCTCCACAGTGACAGCCAAGGAGCGTCGTCCTCTATTCGAACGCCACCCACGTCAGCCCAGAACTCGTGAAGAACCTCCTGGCGCACGGCAACACGCAGAACCCCCCCAGAGAGAACCTTCAAGCTGAGGAGCTGAGCGCCTGGTTGATGAAGCCGCCCTTCTTGGTGTCTGCCAGGGCCTCCTCAATCAGGTAGTCAATGAAGTAGAAGCCAGGCTCCACTGTAAGCACCTCTCGAGTTGTTTCTGGTAGTTTGCATGATCCTTTGCTGTTTTGGCTCCGTTTGATACTTTTCCTTGGTTTCGAAGCGATTTTTGCTCTTGCTTCCTTGCATGATCCTTGGCTGTTTTGGCTCCTTTTGATACTTTTTTGGTTGCCTTTATTTTGGGGGACTAGGAATCGGGGCTTCGGGCGGTTTGGGCTGAGGGAATATCGGCATGCGGGTTCAGAGATTATGGGGGTTTTTATCAGCTTCCAGCGCGACGGACTGTGGACGACACGGATCCCACCCGAACTGAACCCTGAACCCTGAACCCTAAACCCTGAACCCTAAACCCTAAACCCTAAACCCTAAACCCGAAACCCAGTCTGGCCAAGGAACCATGTTCTCCTTCACCTTCCGACCCAACCTCAGGTTCTCCTGGACGCTGGGATCGTCCTGACAGGGTTTACGGCTTCGGGTTTTAGGGTTTAGGGTTTAGGGTTTAGGGTTTAGGGTTTAGGGTTTAGGGTTTAGGGTTTAGGGTTTAGGGTTTAGGGTTTAGGGTTTAGGGTTTAGGGTTTAGGGTTTAGGGTTTAGGGTTTAGGGTTTAGGGTTTAGGGTTTAGGCTTTTGGATTTGGGGTTGGTTTAGGGTTTAGGGTTTGCACGAAGAGCACAAAAAGAAAAGCAAAGGGTCAACGGGCCTCAGAAGTCTGACCATACGCACAAGCCCTCCACACCCTGTCAAACATACCTTAACCTGAAAAACGCAACAACCCTATATAACCCCCCCCCCCCCCCGCCCCCCAAACCCACAACCCCAAAGCCCAAACCCAAAACCCGAACAAACCCGAAGCTAGACGACGTCCTTCCGAAACTCCCCAGGAGGGTAGCCACCCACGTCGTGGACATCCAGTCCCAGCTGGTGGCCGAGACCGTGCGGCATGAAGTGGAACATGAGACCTGCAGGGTACTTGGGGTTAGGGTTTAGGGTTTAGGGTTTAGGGTTCAGGGTTGAGGGTTGAGGGTTTAGGGTTTAGGGTTTAGGGTTTAGGATTTAGGGTTAAGGTTTAGGGTTTAGGGTTTAGGGTTTAGGGTTTAGGGTTTAGGGTTTAGGGTTTAGGGTTTAGGGTTTAGGGTTTAGGGTTTAGGGTTTAGGGTTTAGGGTTTAGGGTTTATGGTTTAGCGTTTAGGGTTTAGCGTTTAGGGTTTAGGGTTTAGGGTTTAGGGTGGGTGCGTTTCGTAGTTAGGGTTTCGTAGTTGGGGTTTAGAGGGTATTCGGGCTAGTTCGGGTTTAGGAGTTTAGGCGGTTTGGGGGTCAAGTCTTGGCAGGAACACATGCAGTAAAGGGTGAACTTAATGGAAGGGGTTTTGAAGTCTGGGATCCCAAGGCCTCAAAATCCCGAAAAACCCCACCTGCTGCCATCATGTCCTCCACACTCCCGACCTTGCATCGCACATCAAACAACAGCGCCCATCATTCAGAACATTGCTTCGGGGCTTTAGGGTCATGGGATTCGTTCGCGAGGCTCTACTTAAAACCCCTAAGCCGGAGCCCCACTAGCCAAGCAGCAAAAAGCCCGGCCGATGTCATGCGCTCCAGCAGCGTTCGCTGCGCCAGCCGGTGCATGTCCTTCTGTTCAGAAGTTTGCAGTTTACGGGACAGGACACACAAGAAAGATGGTGGGGCTATAGAAGCTGTGGATTGCTCTGCAACATGCCGAAGGCACGCAATGCACAGAACTGCCCTAAACCCTAAACCCTAAACCCTAAACCCTAAACCCTAAACCCTAAACCCTAAACCCTAAACCCTAAACCCTGAACAGCAGGAGCCTTGTAGCACACGCCAGGCTGCAGCACCCGCTCGACGGCCAAAACGGCGTCCCAGACGGCCTGCACAGTTCCCATCTGGACGCCACAAGTGCGTACCGCTCGGCTCTAAGCCCTAAATCCTCTCAAAACTTTGAGATGTTCCCCCTTGTACTTAACAGTCCTTAATAGGAACTATAATAGGGGGTACTCTAATCCCTATAAAAGGACTGTTAGGCTAGGATAAGCGCGTGACATCCCCTTCAAACTCGGGGCCTCGTAGACGATCCGCTGTGGACGGCTGAACCTGCCACTCCTGAGGCTTTCAGGCTCAAGGGGTTTAAAGGGGTTTAAAGGGGTTTAAAGGGGTTTAAAGGGGTTTAAAGGGGTTTAAAGGGGTTTAAAGGGGTTTAAAGGGGTTTAAAGGGGTTTAAAGGGGTTTAAAGGGGTTTAAAGGGGTTTAGGGTTTAGGGTTTAGGGTTTAGGGTTTAGGGTTTAGGTTTTTGGGGCTCCTAGGGTTTGACAGATTCAAAAGCTAAGCAATTATCGGGCCTCGAGGTCTTGGCAGAGCTTACAGGTGGAGTGCGGATAAGAGTGATAGCAGGGGAGGCAGAAGAACAAGTACCAACACCAGCAACCAGAATCTGAAGCTCGCGCCATCGACCCTCTCATGGACCGAGAGACAGCATGAACTCTCAGAAGAACGGACCCTGTTGGTGCTGAAGTTCTGAAGTCTTCAGCATCCCTTTACAGCAAGTGTGCCAAACAGCATCTCTGTCTCAGCTGATTCTTAGTAGGGAATGAAGGAATGAGGTATAACGGCTACATATGTACATATATATATATATATATATATACACATATATACATCTACACATATATATATATATACATATATGTATATATATATATATATATATATATTGTATATAGGGCCCTAATTCCCTCATTCCCTACTAAGAACCAGGGGGTCTCTGTCTGAGCTGGTAAGGCGCATCCAAGAAGCACAGGGAAGCTGCAGGTCACGTCTGCACTGTACCCATGGTACTCTGCGCCTTGGCCCGGGGCTCAGAGTCGCATCAAAAGCCCAGACGCAGGGAATTAGGGCCCTATGTATACATATATATATATATATGTGTATATTTATTTATTTATATTTATAGTTATATTTATATCTATCTATCTACCCTTTATACCTCATTTCCCTCATTCCCTCCTAAGAGCCAGCCAGAGGATGCCCCTGAGTCGTCTGCCCATGTCCAGCAGCCGCAAGGAGCCAGCCTGCACGAGCCTCAGGTGGGAAATTGCGGCTTGCGGCGACACGTCACTGCTTGCGGAGCTGTGAAGGAGCCCTAACACCCTGAAGCCCTTCAACCCTACAAAACCCCAAAACCCAACCCCAAAACCCCGAAAGCCCTTAAACCCTACCATAAAACCTGAAGTAGAAAGAGCTAAGGCCGAGCCAAGTGACTCGGAGTTCGGCTCAGCAGCATGGCCGTAGTGCAGGATGGCATTGCCTGACTCGGCCCGATCATCTGGTTTAAGGTTTAGGGTTCAGGGTTCCTACATTGAGTGCCTTCTACAGCTCTGGAGGAATCGCAAGAAGGGGTGGTGAGGTCAGAGCCTCACAAGGGGGAGCATCCCCGCAACGAGCAGGCCGGACACCTTGCCCTTAGAGGCAATGTAGAAAGATCACTGCACGCTTATACCATGACATTGTTTAAAACTCTATATATATGTATCTATATATATATATATATGTATAAATACATATATACATATATGTAGATGTATATACATATACATATATATATATATAAGTTGCTACACCCATCGCATGATACAGACGTGAACTGATAGAACAAGATTACTCTGTGATTCGTGAATAATATGCAAACAAGACCCCGGAAGGGCCACGAGTTTGAAATACTTCGCTGGCCTGTCTCTCGAAACATACCCTCTAAAAAACACTCCGAGATACGATCCTCTTAGCCCAAGATACCTGAGCCACAAAGACGCAAAGCCTTGAAACCCCTAAACCCCTCAACCCTGAACTCAAAAACCCTACTGGAATTAACATCTAAAACTCATCCCTAGGGCCAAGCAGCGCCGTCCAGAGCCACAGATGCAGCTGTAGCCCACGCGGAAGCAGCCGCGCAGGGCCGCCTTTGCAAGCGTTTGCACCACCACCACCACCACCACCACCACCACCACCACCACTTCCACTACCAGGTACCACTACCACTACCACACCCTCAAAAACCCGAGAAGCTCCCCCGCCTTGTACTTGAAGGTTGCCTCCGCGAGGTGCTCCCGCTGCCCGCCCTGCACCGCACGCATGGTCTCCAGATGCGCCTCCGCCGAGACATCGTTGACCCACCTCGGGGCGGGTCAGGGTCCCAACCCTTGCTGAGTGCCGTTGGTGCGGCTGGCGGGGGATGGCTGTTTTGCTGTTGCGCTGCGTAGAAGCATGCGCGCTTACGCACGCATGTCATTGTGTGTGTGTGTGCACATGTTCTTAACTGCCTGCGCTGAATTAGGCTTGTTGGAAGCGATGTCTGTACACAGCTAGCGTTGCATTTTCAAATACTAATAATACTAGAGTAGAGGCAGGGAGGGAGAGGGAGAGAGGGAGGGAGAGAGAGAGAGAGAGAGAGAGAGAGCGAGAGAGAGAGAGAGAGCGAGAGCGCGAGCGAGAGCGAGAGAGGGAGAGAGAGCGGCATTTGAATCATGCAAGTCAAGCTTCTGGAGAATCTTCAGCTCCTCTTCGTCTTTCACCTGCTGGCATACATCTCAGGCTTCCGGCTTTTTGAAATGCTTGGAGTTTTGGGGTTTGGGAAGCTTAGAGCCCAGCCGAGCGGATTTCATTGAGCTCATCCCACAAGGCGCCGCTGCCTGCAGAGAATCGCGGGCTCAGCAACTGAGGCAGATTTGCAATGGAGCAACGATGGGATGTTCCCCCTGATACTAACAGTCCTGCATAGGGATTATGAAAGGGGTACGATAATCCCTATTAAGGACTGTCAGCATAAGGGGGAACATTCCAAGAGCAGATTTGGGGTTTCCGAAATTAGGGGCACCTTATTGGGGTCCTTATTGTAAGGGAATCCTACTATTTGGGGGTCTATCTTAGGGTCCCTTATTTCCGTAAAGTCCTTGCAATGGAGCAACCCATCCCTACATGGCCTCTCTGGTTGAAGCCAAACTGATCCTGCACCGCACTGCCCAACCAGGGCACGGCAGATCAGAGCCAGGCTACCGTGTGAGATCATGCGATGTCTCGTATCGGTTGTTCTACCTCTCAAGTCTTTGCAAGGCCTTCGGACTGCAGGAAACTTGATTAACTTTCATGCGAGGCCGGTGGTCCTTGCCGTCGAAATTGGGCTCCTCCAACTGAAGACCTGAATCCTTGCTGCAATCTGCCAAACTTGCCGCGGCTGATCCAACGTGGCACACACTCCATATCCGATCCGAGAGTCTCTGTTGGGAGAGCCGCGGACGCAGAGAAGCTCCTGCCCATCCAGCGCACAATCGTAAAGGCCACGAATACAATAAAACAACCCCAAAAAACCAAAAACGATGGTGCGCGCGGTACACGCATTGAGTCGGGTTGCGCAAGTTCGTGCACATGCCACCAAGCCTCATTGGGACCCTAAACCCTATAGACCTTCTTCCACGCAAACATCATTGAAACGACCTTGGCGCCCAACTCCCGAAGCGTCTGCACGATCTCATCGGTGTGAGCAGCCTGGCACCGCGATTTGGGTCCAGCGAGCACTCCAGGAGCTCCCAGGCCCAGGGTTGAACCCTGAACCCTGAACTCCGAACCCTAAACGCCTCAACCCCAAACCCTGAACCCCAAACCCTGAACCCTTAACCCTCAACGCTGAACCCTAAACCCTAAACCCTGAACCCCAAGCCTACACCCTAAGCCCTTTCTTGGGGCCTCGTGGACGCCGTAGGCCTTTTGGAACCATGCCTCGGTCGCATCTGCCCCCACAAAGAAGTGTAAATGAGTAGTTCTCTACATGAGGCTCCTTTTTGGGGGTCCCTGTATGAGGTGAGTACTATATAGGGACCCCAAAAAGGGAAGCTACCTTGCAGAATGACTCAAATGTTGGGGTGTCAAACGGCCTAGGGCTAGAGGGGCCTGAAGCCCCTCATCGATACCTAGCTGCGAGGCCCTCATCGAGGCCTAAGCTTGGAAAAGTCCCCCCCCCCCTTCAGGAAACCCGTCAGCTCGAAGTCCGAAGCCCTAAACCCTAAACCCCAACCCTAAACCCTAAACCCCAGACCCTAAACCCTAAACCCTAAACCCCAAAATCCTAAACTCTAAACCCCTAAACCCTCCGCCCAGGCACCGGTGGCTTGATTGGGCCGCACCAGGCCTGGTACATCTTCTCCATCCTGGCGGACTTTTGGGGGCATTTGGGGCTTCCCTCCCACCTGTTGTTAAACCCCCTCCCACCCCACTACTATTAAATAACCCCCCATGTACTCTAATATCAGCTTCAGTGGCTTGAGGTTCTTTAGGGATTCTAGTGGAAGGTAGGGTCCTATTCTGATTTAGAGATTCATCTCGTGTGGCGCGGCTACTATAGGGCTTGTAGAGTGCCTTGAGAATTTACGGATTCCTAGGGCTTTCTAGCGGCTTATGGCATAAGACCCCAAACCCCATATAAAAAAAAAAAAAAACTGCGGTTTCTCTTGCGCCGGCCTTGGGACGAACAGCACTGCACGTGCATCATGGACCCTCAGAGCTGCGTAGCAGTCCGGCTCCTGCACGCACATTTCTTTAAGTGTGGGCCCTTGGGAAGAAAGGGGTATATAAGGGGGTCCCCTATTAAAGACCCATATGAAGGGACCATGTAAGTTAAGTTAGGGTTTAAGGTTTAGGGTGTAGGCGAATATCGAGAAGCCGTACAATGACAGGGACATACAGGGACGCAAAAAACACGCATCTCCATCTCAAAGGTCAAGGTTAAGGGTTAGGGCAAGTGTTCGTTTGGCCGACGCAGCAGCAGGCAATGCCCTTCCCTGAAGGCGCAAGCGTTTTGGGAAACGGGCTAGCAAAAGTGCATGCAAACATGGTTGAGAGTTTCGGACTTGGGTGTCTGGCTCCCTTGAGCACTCCTTGACCCCAAAGAGGTACTGGAAGTTGCTTTCCTGCTTGAAGTCCCAGTTCGTGTCCTCGGATCGTCATGGAAATTGGGTTTCATGGGGGATCCTGAAACCTAAATAAAAGGCAAAACATGCTTGTAAACATTTTAAACATGCTTGTAAACATTTTAAAGATCCTATATACCCGAAATGCCCTAAAACCACCCTAAATGCACCTAAACCTAAAACTACCCTTAATGCACCTAAACCCATGTGGTCCTTAAACCTTAGACAACCTCGGCCTTCCAAGCCCCAAGCCCCAACATCGTAAAGCTGCTTCACTGAATCAAGGGCTTAGGGCTTAGGGGTTAGGGTTTAGGGTTTAGGGTATAGGGTTTACTAGGGTTTAGGGTTTAGGGTTTCTTATTGCTCTTTTAATGTTTCGAACAAGTCTTTTCAAGAACCGAATGAAACTTTACCAAAGGCTTCGGGTTCTGTCTTGAAGCTCAAGGGCCACTAAGGCCGATGTAATTGTAAGATTTAGGGTTTAGGGTTTAGGGCTTGGGGTTTAGGGTTTAGGGTTCAGGGTTAGGGGTTATGTGACTTGTAAGGTTTATACGGCTCATGTGCTACGGACCATGTGAAGATGCTCCCGATTACAACTTGTGCCTCACCCTGCATCAAACTTGAAACTTGACGCCCACCACCTGGCTAAAACCTGAATCTCAACTCCACACGAACTGGATCAATATGCATGAAGACAGTAGCCTTGAAACTTAGACCTCAAAAACACACTCAAGCGCGACACACACACACACACATATGTTCATATACATACACACATACACACATACACACATACACACATACACACACACACACACACACACACACACACACAAAAGGCACAAAATCGTACCATCAGCCATGGAAACGCTAGAAAGCAAACAACAGAAATCCAACAGTTCGGAACTCAGGTGTAGGGAATGTTGGGCAAATCACAACAAGAATGTCGTATCAGACCCCGAGGCATGCAGGAAACACAAACAAGGTAACATTCTCCCCTCCGCTAATTTCGAGAAACCCCCCCCCCCCCCCCCAAATCGGTGTTCAGATACCACCACCACCCCCCAAATAGGGTTCAGGGTTTGGGGGTTTAGGGTTAAGGGTTTAGGGTTTAGGGGTGTGTGTCCCGAATAGGCCAAGTCTCCGTGTCGTAGACGCTGGCCTCCTTACCACCCTGGAGCAAGATCACGGCCCCCGCGCCAACCTCGGGCCTCTTGCGCAGCACCTGACTGTTGAGGTTTTGAGGTTTAGGGTTTAGGGTTTAGGGTTTAGGGTTTAGGGTTTAGGGTTTAGGGTTTAGGGTTTAGGGTTTAGGGTTCTCGGATTGAGGGCTTAGGGTCATGGGGCTGAAGAAGCTCCTAGGCTATGAGGGCTAGGATGGGAGCTTCGGGTTTAGGCAGTCAGGGTGCTGACATTACGGGGGAAAAGGCACACTGGGACGCCAACATCTCCGAGAGCGAAACATGAGACCAAGACATGCTGAGGCTCTCTTTATAGCACCCTACCTTAAGAACCCTATCATCTTTTTTTCCTTGACAGCTTTCCGGTTTCCTGTACTCCTGGGTTGTGTCTCAAGAAAGTCCGCCCGGAAGGTGGGGCTGGTTGTTTATCCAGTCTTGGGGATGCATCCTAAACCCCAAACCCCAAACCCTAATCCCTAAACCCTAAACCCTAAACCCTGAATGAACCCTGAACCCTCAATCATACGCCGCTCAACCTGCGACTTTGACGAGCCTGTCTGTCGGACCCTTGAAGCCCGAGCCTGCTAACAGCGGCATCTGCGGGTTGGTTTAGGCTCCTTTATGCGGGCCTCCTTTGATTCTGCTGTAAATAAAAAAAACCTATGTACAATGCGATAAGAAGGCTGAGGAAGACGAACCTGGCTGGCGGATCTTCTATATGTACATGTGTAAAAAAATCATATGCATATGCATACATGTATATATATATATATACGTAAAAGGTCTGTACGGACTCTAATCGGATCCCCCAAAGGGACCGTCATTTAGAGAACTTCCCATTGCCTGGTTGAAGTGCCCCTGCCTCACAGAGCTTCTCTCGGTGGGTGGCATGCATGGCCATTGGCACGCGCAGTGTACCTCACTGAAGAGCCGTTCCGACGGAGTTGCTATGGGCAGGCGTCGCGGAGCAGGACGGCACGCTTAGGGGCCTCATAAACAAAATGATGAGGCCACAACAGAGACGCCACTGTTGTGGAGATCTACCGGTCTCATCACCGCCATCCCAGACTTCGAGACCCCCTTCCAACCTACAAGCCCTGGTTTCTGTAGCCGCAAGTCGTGCCCCTCAACATGCAAAGTAAGACCTTAAACCCGACACCTGCGCCCATGGAGAAGAAGGGTTCGCCACCACGGTCCCAGGAAACCTGAGCCGTGGACTCTCAACCCTAAACTCCTAAACCCTAAGCTTCTAAACCCTACACCCTAAACTCCTAAACCCTAAACCCTGAGCCCTCTCTGTCTGTCTGTGTGTCTTTGTGTTTGTCTACGTGCCTGTCTGTCTCCTCGGGTTCAGGGTAGGTCTTCATGCGAAATCATGACTCGAGCCTCGATGAAGTAAGTGACACCTTGAGCTGAGGGGCTGTGCCTCCCGTCACCATTGGGCCGATGCCTGGTTTAGGGTTTAGGGTTTAGGGTTTGGGGTTTGGGGTTTAGGGTTTAGGGTTAGGCAACAAAGCAGGCGCGCGGGTTTTCGGGCTCAGGGTTTACGGGGATTAGGGGTTGAGGGTTTAGGAGGGTCTGGGGCCGAGGGTTTAGGGGGTTTAGGGTTTAGGATGAGTTTAGGGCTCAGGGTTTAGGAGGGGTTTAATTAGTAGGGGTTTAGGGGGTTTGGGGTTTAGGAGGGGCTCAGAGTTTAGAAATAATTTGGCATTTAGGGCTTCGGGCCTCACAAAACCAACTGCGGCTGGGCCCCCTCACAGGCAGCTTGCGATACCCACAGCGAACTTTACCAGCCACTCCATAACAGCCGGGACATCCCAGATGGGCAGTGAAAAACAAATATATATATATATATATATATATCTGTATATATATATATATTTTGTTTGTTTATTTATATATATATATACTTATTTATTTATATATATATATATATATTTTTTTTGAACCCCCCAAAAAAGAGGGGGAAACCTCGGAAACGTCGCGCCTGATGAGCCGTTCTCCATCTTGGCCTTCTTGGCCGGATGCGCCGCCATGGCTCCCAGCGCCGAAGGGGAACTTGAAGGTTTTGTGATGGAAGCTTCTGCTTGGGCAAGTACTGAAGTAGGCTACTAAACTCTGAACCCTACAGGCCCTCTAGGCTTCAAACTTGCAACTGCTGGCTTCCTTCTGCAGGTAAAGGCCCCGTGCTTGAATCATCAGGCGCGGAGCTCTTGAAGTTGTTTATTCACCGAGTGAGACGATTCCAAATCTTGTCAACCGGGAACCCAGCCTCACAAACTGCATGGCTTGGGATGTTCCCCCTTATACTAACAGTCCTTAATAAGGATTATAGTACCCCCCCTATCATAGTCCCGATGAAGGACTGCTAGTCTAAGGGGAACATCCCAATGGCTCGAAACCAACCAGAGTGACTCACTCAGAATGAGCGCCTCCGAAGCTGGACGCTCAAGGCCTCGAGCACAACTCACAAGTAGAGGTGTAGGGATTCTTCTAAGAGCTCGAGAAGCGCATCCCATGCAAGGTTTATCATCATGTCGCAGAGTTACTAAGTTCAGAACATCACCCTCCAAAGGCAAAATGAAAATAGTTCAAAAGAAAACCAACATCCTCCACCAAGCAGCCCCAGTCTCCAGCATCACTCTGGCGAGGGAAGGAAGTGGTAAGCAGCCTCAAGACGGGAAACCTTTTAACAGCCCTGACCGACTCCATGACCAGCCCACAGTCCAGTGAGTTGTTGCGATGCCTATGACAAGACGGAGCCTTATAGGGTTTAGGGTTTAGGGTTTAGGGTTTAGGGTTTAGGGTTTAGGGTTTAGGGTTTAGGGTTTAGGTAGGGGACCATAATTCAGAGGTGGATTGGATTGTTTTTGGTCCGGAGGACTTCCGGAGGCGCAATTCACTCCAGCCTGTGCATGAGCCCACGAGTCGAAGCCTGCGTCCCCAGGCAAATTCCCCCGTATCTTTTTTTTTCAGAGTGCCCGCAGGTCAGAAGTAGCACATTCGAATGCTCGGATTGCGTTGACAGACTTCCGAGGCGTTGAGGCTGTTCAACCTCAGCTGCAGCTCCTTCAGATGGTCGAGGCCGTGAAACACATCCGCTGGGAGGCTCTTGAGCTTGTTCTGGCTGAGACACAGCTTCTCCATCGCATGGAGGCCCTTGAAAATCTGGCCATCTAGGCTTTCCAGCTGGTTGCCCTCTAGGTGCAGATTTATCAGCTGGCTAAGGTCCTGGAAAAGACCGGCCGGGAGGCTTCTGAGACTGTTGTGATTCAGGCGCAAGGTCTTCAGCCGGCCGAGGCCCCCGAAGACATCGGCGCGGAGGGTCGGAAACTTGTTGTGCACAAGCTGCAACTGCTCCAGACGGTCCAAACCCTTGAATACCTCGGCCGGGAGTGCTTGGAGCTGGTTGGAGTCCAGATTCAACACCCTGAGCTTCTGAAGGCCGTGGAAGACCGCGGATGGTAGACTCTTGAGCTGATTGCGGTCCAGCCGTAGGGTTTGCAGCTGACCCAGACCTCGGAACACATCGGCCGGGAGGGCCAGCTGAAAGTTGATGAGGCTCAGGTGCTGGAGCTCGCGGTGTTGAGAGAGGCCCTCTAGGCTCTCTGGTGGGGGCACCTTGCGGAGGGGCGAGCAGCGGGCGCAGGAGAGCATCAGCTGTTGGAGGCTCGGCACGAGCCGCGCCAGTGCCGCCACCTTGTGGAGCTGCTCCGCATCCACGAGGTCCATCATGCTAAGCTTCGTGACGTTGGCGAAGGCCTCCTGCTCTCAGGGGGCCCAGAAGCTGACTTATCGTAAGAATTTAAGAAAACAACTTAAGCTCGAATTTCAAGGGGTCTTGACAAGAGGAGGCTATAGCTACCCATGGCCACGCCTGGAGCTGCGAAGTCATGGGCGGGACCTTCACCGATGGGCTCCGGATCAGCGCGCCCGCCACAAGTGCGGCCAGGTCCTCGCTCATCACTGCCATGGTGGACAGCAAGGAGCTGGAGGGCTCCGGGAGCCACCAGACCTCCTTCGCGGCATCCTCGTCGAAGCGGGCGGCTTCCTTCTTTGGCAGCTTGGCCCGGATCTCCTGCAACAATGCCAAGCCGCCCGGAATGCTGTTCACTTGCTGAAGCAGGGTGCGCATGGGAATCTGCACGCCGTAGCCTTTCAGGCCAACACCTCCCCCGCTCTCTTCATAAAGCCACTCCCGGCGGATGCTCCGGCTGCATGCTGTAGCCTGTGCCTGCAAACAAATCAGCAGTTTCACGACACCCTTTGGAGCCAACAGCGGTGAGGTTCTCACGCGCTCAATGACTCGTGAGCTCCAGTCCCAGATTGCGTGGCCCCCCAGGCTTTCGTTGCGGACCTGCCCGCACAGCTGCATTTCGTGCATTTCGCACTTGGGAAGCAGATGACAAATTGCATCTGCTGAGGTAAGGACGCCTCGCTCTGCTGCGCTGGAATTGAGGATAGAACAGCCGTGCCTTTTGGCTGCCCAGGCCGCGGGGCTGTCGACACTGCCAAACTCTATGGTCACAGAATGATCCTTTGAGGACCATGTCTGGTCCCAGCCGTCCTTTTTTGCCCTGCGGGGCACAACGGTGAAGGTGGGTGGGGATTCTGGCTGGCCCCTGAATGGGTCAATTCGGACTGCCATGGGCTCGTCCCAGAGAGATCTCTCCTGCGCGACGCCACCATGAGCAGCACAAATCGCGTAGCGAGACCTCACGAAGCCACTCTCCGAGCACTGGCCATGCTTCTCCGCGAGCTTCTTCTCAGCCTCGCCGGCAGGGGCCCATTCGGACCAATTTGCCCGAAAGGCCTCAGCTCTCTGTTCTCCCCTACTTTCTCTCCACCTCCAGCTCTCATATATGCGTGCACACAGACACCGACACGTAGACAGACACGCAGACACAGAGTCATGAGCTTGCTACAGGTCTTCACTGCACTTCTTGGAAGGGGCTGTCCCACAACCCTCGAAACATACATCTGCACCGGCCCGTGTTCAGGCGGGTGTGAGGTCCTACACTGCGAATGAAGGCAACCTCCCTTCCTGTGCCAAGACGCTCAAGCTTCCAAGGAAAAAACACGCAAGCCTGTCCCATGCGACTCACAACGTAGTCCCACCCACTGGTTATATGAAAATCACAAGGTTTGGTCAGGTTTGGTCCCCAGCCAGAGATCGCTGACTGGGGAAACTCATTTATCAGATCCCTGACCTCCTCCTCCTCCTCCTCCTCCTCCTCCTCCTCCTCCTCCTCCTCCTCCTCCTCCTCCTCCTCCTCCCTCTTCTTCTTCTCTGAGGGCTCTGGGGCGAGCTCCGGCACTGCCGCGGGTCTGTTTTCGGCTGTGACGGTTGAGCCTCCTTTGAGCCCCCATCCCTGTGAGACTGTGTGGCTTTTGAGTGATGGCCCCCGATTACTGAGCAACCCTCTCTCTCTCGCTCTCTCTCGATTTCTTGCTTGCTTGCTTGCTTGCTTGCTTGCTTGCTTGCTTATTTGCTCTCTGCCTCTCTCTCTCTCTCTCTCTCGCTCACTCTCGTCGTTCGTCCCGCTACCAATGACAACATGGCAGAGCATCGGCCAGGGAGCCGGGTCTGGCAGCAGCGGCATCACCAGCAGCTTGAAGCTGCTGAAGGCCATTGGGTCATACTCAGAGACATTGGCGACGATATTGCCTTCATCGTCTACCGAGCTCTGGCTGCTCAGCACATTCGTGCCGCTGGCATTCATGCCCAGGAGCATGACCAGGGCTTTCGTTGCTTGGGGCGGCCCCTGGCGGAGCAACACCGGCATAAATCCGGTCTCAAACCTCTGCCCACCGATCTCAACATCCAGGGCAAAGCTGAGAGTTGCTTCGTTGCCGCGCCAGTCCGGGCGAACCTTCCTGAAGATGAGCTGGCCTGCCTCTGCCTCGACGGGCGGGCTGCAGGGCATGGAAGCTGCGCCGTTCATTCCTTCTTTGTCCTCTTCTTCTGCTTCTTCTGCTTCTTCTTGCTCTGCTTCCTTCGGTGCAATCGCACAGCCGTCCAGGCGGCCTCGCATGACCCGATCGGTGTAGGTTGGGTTCGGGGAGCCCACGGAGACCGCTCCGGTGCCATTGCTTACCGCCTCGAGCTCGCCCTCCGCCTCCCAGTGATGCCGGTCGCCGACTACCATGTAGCAACCATGTCTTCCAGGGTAGACGTCGAAGCAGTCCAAGCTGTGCCCACACAGCCGTGAGCAACGCTCTTTGCTTGCATTTATCACCGGGTGGTGCTCGGTCCACAGCCCAGCATTCTGGCTGGGCCGGTGGTTCGGAGGGTGCGGAAGCCCCAGGACGAAGTCCGTCAAGCTGACGGTGATGTGGACGTCCTGCACACCTGGCCAGGCGTCGCACCTTCCTTGCCTTGCCTTGCCTTGCCCGATCCTGAGCCTGCCTTCTAGACCGACTGCCCTTCTCTCAGTGACGATAACTAACATTGTATATAGATATATATATATATATACATACATATATACATATACGTATATATACATACTTTAACCAATAATGTAGTGGTACATGTGAATTTCCGAATACCATTTCAAGCTGTTCCCGCGCCTGTGGGTATGCTGACGACACTGCCAAGCAGAGAGGACCAGACCACTTTCCTACGGAAGCTCTGGGCGCTGATCGTCAGCACCGTAGGCAGCGTTTTCAAGGGCGCAAAGCGCACCTGATAGGTCGTCTCCGGTTGCGATGGGCGCGGGCCCTGGACCATGATGCTCGCTGCACGCGGGACGCGACGATGGGCAAGCTCCACAACTTCCACAGCTGAGCTCTGATTGTCCTCAATGGCGATAGACAGGGGTGGAGGGGGCAACCCGGATGTAGGATCTGGCTGGCGTAAGGACATCGAGCGTGTTGTGGAAGGGTGCACCCAGGCCACCAAGGGAAGCCGCTGGAAAGATGTGTCCGTGATGACTTGGTAGTGGGTCTGCCTGCCATGCATTATCATTGACTCAGGCATTTGCGAAATTCGTAGCCCGTAGCTATTCACGAATGCGGCATTGAACACCCTGCGCGAGCTTACGCGAGCTTAAGCGGTGGCGAAACCACATGCTCTCACTACATCTCACAATCACACCTCTGCCAGTCCCGACCCTCAGCCCCAGAAAGTAGCTTGCGCGAGCTTACGAGAAGCTACTTACAATCTCTGTCTCCTGTCTTGTCCTGCTCTTGTCTCTGCCAAGGTGCCATGGCACGTAGGCGAGGGAATGCGTGGAGCTGGCCAGCATTAAGTCCGTGAGCTGACCGGCCGAGCAAGCATAGGCGGTCATGTGGGCACCGGAGATGCACCAGGACGAGGCCACCATGGCCACGAAGGCAGGCAGCATCAAGAATCCCGCCTTGGAGTGGCTCAAGAAGTGCACCACGGCTCCTTGGTGCAGCACGGCAAGCCGCATGGCAAGGCCTGCGGGCGCCCGGGACTCTGTGGAGGAGCTCGAGGAGCTGAGGAGTCGGCGGAGGTCCTACGCCGAGGAGGCTCTGAGCGTCTGAAAACCCCCTTATAACTTTTAGATTCGTAGTCATCCTAGGAGGAAGCTGAATACAGCAGAAATAGCAGAGCTTCTTGTGGATTCAGAGAAGTCAGAAGTCCTCAAGCTTCCCGCCCTGGGTCGCCAACAGGAGTGCGCTCCAGGGGAGTAGAGCCATCTTGGGCCTCTCCGAGCTATCCGCGAAGCAGGCAGAGTTCACCTCCACCGATGTCAGGCTCCGATCGATATCCTCGGATGGGCCCTTAAAACCCTCTGAAAAAGCACTTCCTGACTGTGGATCCTCTTAAACCCAATAAGTCAATAAGGGTAAGTATGCAATGTCCCAAGGGCCTACCGAGTATCCCTTGCTGCGCTCAGGGCCTTCAGCACCGTCCACACAGAACCGCCCAGCGCGCTCAGGGCCACCAACATGGTCGAGGTATCTGCACTCACCAGGACGAGGATGAGCAAGAAGTAGGCGAGGACGGCGGCAAACAGGCAAATATCCACAACCCCGTTGTCCTGCAATTCCGTCAGGACAACACCCAACTGCAAGCATGCGTGGGCCAACTGCTTCTTGGAGAGGAGCTGCATGAGTCGCAGGGCAGCTGCCAAACCGAGAGCAGCAGGGCAGGCTGCGACGAGCCAAACCAGCTCCTGGAGGACAGCTGGAACTGGCCGCGACGTGGGCATAGAGGCTTTGGCATCGTGTGCTTCTTGGGGGCTTATCACAGTCCCTCTCCCCCCTCCCTTGACATTCACACAGGTGCAGAGCCTCCTGCTCGCATGACTTGCGGACCACTGACAGAGCCCCTGTCTGCATGGCCGTCAGAGAAAGCAGAAAGCCCGCAGCCCACGAAGAGCCGCTCAAGTAGTTCTCCATCGGGGTCTTCACCACCATGCCCTCCTGAGATGGCTGGGATGCCATGGGCTCCAACCCAGCGCTGGCCCGGGACATCCATAGCATCCACATTGAAACTGCAGCAACCAGCGCAAAACTCGCCAGCACGACGCCTCAGCCAGGCTTGCAGCGTCTTCACAGGGAACTGATCTTGGTGCCCTAGATCCGCCTATGTCAATCACAGGGGTCACAATTCTTCCCTGATTCGGCCAGGAAGAACCAGCTAGCCTCCTAGAAGCTCTAGTAACACAGCTCATGCAGTCTCACCCTCAACCCTGCCAATCCTAAACCCTCTAAACCCTAAACCCTAAACCCCAAACCCTAAACCCCAAACCCTAAACCCCAAACCCTAAACCCCAAACCCTAAACCCCAAACCCCAAACCCCAAACCCGAAACCCTAAACCCCAAACCCCAAACCCCAAACCCCAAACCCGAAACCCTAAACCCCAAACCCTAAACCCTAAACACCCAGGCCCTCCAAGCCCAACGGCCGGCCAGGAGGTCCGGCACTCCCTCGGGGCAGCGCTCCGTAGAAAGCCTCCCCATTCCAGGATGCACAAAAGGGTTGAGGGCTTTAGGGTTCAGGGTTCATTCACGGTTTGGGGTTTAGGGTTTAGGGTTTAGGGTTTAGGGTTTAGGGTTTAGGGTTTAGGGTTTAGGGTTTAGGGTTTAGGGTGCAGGGTTCAGGACCAGGGTTTCGGCCTAGAATCCCCATGATCAACTCTAATTTTTGTGAAGGGATTTGAATGGGCATGCCAAGTATAGAGGTTTGGGTGGGAGAGAAAGATCTTCTAGTCTCGAACTCGGGTTTCCCAAAAAGGTGGTTTAGGGTTTAGAGTTTGGGGTTTAGGGTTTAGGGCTTAAGGTTTAGGGTTTAGGGTTCAGGCTTCAGGGTTTAGGGTTTAGGGTTTAGGGTTTAGGGTTCCTGTGAGTGGAGTCATGCTGCTTGCAGGCGAGCTGCTGGAGAGCCTGAAGCTTGATCGAGTGCGGGAGCCAGCTAATCAGACGTCCCACAACCTCCGGAGGAGCGACCCTAAACCCTAAACCCTAAACCCTAAACCCTAAACCCTAAACCCTAAACCCTAAACCCTAAACCCCGGCTTCTCAGGCCTACAAGTGCTCACCAAGCCCCTACCTGCTAAACAGCAAAATCTTCTGATTCAAAGATCTGGTCTACAGGATGCTCGAGCTAGTGGAGATGCAGCTGCCACAACAAAAGAGTGCTTTTTCCTCTGTTGGGCCCTAAACCCTAAACCCTAAACCCTAAACCCTAAACCCTAAACCCTAAACCCTAAACCCTAAACCCATGCCGGTTGGAGGCCATATATGTAGCTCAGGCTCAGGTTTAAGGTTCCAGGGGCTTGGGGGGGTATATCTCGGAGTGGCAGCAAAAAAACCCGACAACCACGCACATTGCCATCGAGGATCACCCCGTGGTCCTTTGCCGCTCAGCTTGCACACACAGAAGCTGTCAACTTTCCTCATTGGGCAGCGGCAGCTACTTAAGTTCTGGCATGCATGCATCAGTCGTGATAGCTGCCCAGTGGCCGGGCGCAAAGCTTGGGCGGGATTTCAGCTGCAAGGTGCATCCTGTTAATGAGCACGGGGTCTACGAACACTGCCACAAAGGAGCCGTTGACAGGATCCTCTCGAAAGCCACAATGCCAAGATGTGCGGATTCAAGATCACATCTATCGTTTACTTCAGAGGCTGCCCACACTCGAGCAACTCTACGCGGCATCGCTTCGCTGGATTCCCCTAGCTGGCTGCTAAGTCGGGATGGGCTTCGTAGCTGCGGCCTTGCACTCCCGTCCTCAGCATCGATCCAGGGCACGATGTTGGCAGGGGCACCAGATGCTTCGCAGCTGGTGCTCACAAAGTACCTTGTGCGAGCAAAGCCGAAACAAAGGCATCTGTCAAGCTTGATGGCACACAACGGCCACCCTTCAACACCGAGGCGCTGCACTTGACTGCTTAGGGTTCTGGCTGCTTCTCCGCGCAACTCGTAGTAGCCGCTCTGGGCGGACGGCGACCCGCACGTCTCTGAGCAATCATCAGGGTCGTTCCTGAGGGGCCACAAGCAGAAGCGGCGGGTTTGGGAGAGATGCCGTGACACCTTAAGTTCTCGGAACTGCATGAAGCAGCTGCGTACACTTCCTTTGAGGCCCCCTTCCCTTCTTCTAACCGACAGCGGCGGCACAATGTAAGTCGTTGCTGCGTTGTTCACTCATCTACTTAGAATCTGGATTTTGGGCTGCTTCTCTTGAAAGTGGGGCCAACTATTGGAATTTATTCAAGCTCCTTCAGTACCCTGCTCGCTTGAGAGATGCCCTCCTTCTTTAGCTGCAGTGGAGTACAGCTGTCTTTTCAAATGCGTTGGCTGCCAACGAGCGCAAACTCCAAAAACCCCAAAAACCCCACAAACCCCGCAAACCCCGCAAACCCCAAGCCCTAACCCCCTCGGAGATTGCAGCGCTGAGTGTCACAGGATCAAGGCTGAGGTCTGACTGGCGAACCGCCACAAGGCATGTCAGCTGCAGGAAGGTAAGAAAAACATATTTCCCAAACATCAGCATCTCGAGCCAGAGTTGGCCCAGGAGAGAGGTATTGGGGGGTTTGGGGTGTGGGGGTTTGGGGTTTAGGGTTTGGGGTTTAGGGTTTGGGGTTTAGGGTTTGGGGTTTAGGGGTTTGGGGTTTAGGGTTTGGGGTTTAGGGGTTTGGGGTTTAGGGTTTAATTAGGGTTTGGGGTTTAGGGTTTAGGGTTTAGGTTTCCGCAGCCAGGCCCTTGGATCCCAAAACCTCAAGCCTAGAGTCCTACATCCGTTGGACCCCCGCAAGTCCTCAAAGTCCCTAAACCCTAAACCCTAAACCCTAAACCCTAAACCCTAAACCCTAAACCCTAAACCCTAAACCCCCCCCCCCCCTTCGCCTTGGCCGGAATGTCCTGCAATCCTGCCATTCCCCGTCTTGGCTCTCTCGGGCTTTGGGTTGCAAGGATCAAAAGGGCTTTAGGGTAAGGGCCGCTGTTAGGGAGCGTCAAGGGCTTAGGGTAACAGGGTGGCCGAGAACACGCTTGGCAAAGCGATATGAGCCTTCAATTCCAGCCTTACTTCTCAGCTAAGGTACCCCTCCAAATGAGGTAATGAGGACCATGAATTTTGGGCTGAGGGCAGGGGGCTCAAGCTCGACCATCGGGGCCGATTGATTCCGAGTTTAGAGTATAGGGCTTAGGGTCTGGGCATAGTATCAGGGGATGAGTGCAATGGGTAGATAATTACGAAGGCTCCTGCATCACTCGCATTTTCTGTGTTAGAAGATGGGCGGGTGAATTGGCTGCCAAATTTCAGCACGAGGCGGTAGATATCAAGCAGGCATCCACTCTCGCAGAACTGCAGGCGCGGGCGCAAGCCGTTCGCTCTTTCTCACTTTCAAAGTCCCTGCAACTCCAAAACCTACAAGGTTCTGACCTCTGACCCTACATATACTGCAAAACTCCCCCCCAAAAAATGAGTCGGTCCTGAGTAGGCACGTAGGGCCGCAGAAACCAAAGGCACCGATCTGAAGGGCAACCGCATGAGCCAGAATGCCACGAGTGCAGAGGCGCAGGCAGAAGAGCTTTAGGTTTTCTTGGGGTGTGGGGTCCAGGGTTGAGGTTTTTGAGGGGTTTGGGGGGGCTGTATGAGCTTGTATAATCAGCATATATCAGCATCATCTCGTCCATGCTGGCCTTGTTTTGCGTGGCGTAGGCAGCTGCATCTCTCACGGCTACGGCTAGCTTCTCAGAAGACCTGGAGCCTAGCGGTTCCCGGGCGCGGTTGAAACTCGGAGCTTGTTAAGCTGGGCGCGCGGGACAACAACACATTCTGAACACATGGCTGAAGGACCTCCAACGTAGCATGATGCACCTGAACCCAAACCTCTGAACCCTAAATTCCTTCCTAAACTGCAGCCAATCTTTCAAAACACAAATGCCACAACTAGGTCTTAACTCTGCATTTGCTTCGAAGCGCTCCCTTTGCAGCCGCCGTCTACTGCTGAGACGACGGTCCGTAATGATGGGAGGCTTGGTGCACTAGCAGTAAGACTGGAGCTGTAAGGAGCACTGGTCACATGGGCACACCCGATTACTAGGATGGAGGGTTGATGCTACGATCTTGCCAGTGCGGTGATGTTCTGCTCAGCCCCGATGATCGTCCCAGCACTTTGCTTGAGAGCCCATGTGGGAGTTTACGACACTAAGGGGCCCCTAGAATGCCCTCATGAGGTACCCCTAATTTCGGAAACCCCCATGTACCATCAGCAGTGACCCTAAGACCCTCAACCCTAGGCCCACGGTGAGTTGTCAGCTTCAGTCGCGTGAGACGTAGTGGTACATGGAGGTTGTTCTAAATTGGGGTCCCCCCGCTGAGAACTGCTCCAGAAACCTACATAACAATAAGAACCCCACAAAGGCACCCTCTTTTCGAGCAACCCCCACATATTATTGCCTTTCAAACGATGCGGAAAATAACTTTCGAGCACGGCGTCGCTGCCCGGGGATCGGCGCGCGCTTGGGGCGATATTGGGCCAGCTGCACTCCTCTCCCCCGAGCGCTGGCCCGGGGTCCATCTCCGCGTGGTGGATCTCCATGGTGTGAGGTGCGGGAGGGCTTGTCACAGAGAGCCTAGGCCGTGGTGAAGTAGTACCTGAGCAGTGGGGAGGCTTTCATCAAGACAGCGAAAGCCACTGTGTGGCCACAAGGGCGTAGAATCCCGAGCTCCCTGTCTAGGCGAGGCGAGGGTCGCGCGGAAACCTTCGTTGAACAGCATAGCCTGCCTCTAAACCCCACTCCCAAGCGCACAACCCCTCCACATCCCAAGCCACAAAATCCTCGACCCTTCAACCCAAACCACCCTCAAACCCTTCCTCAAAACCCTCACAAACTTAGGCCCTTAAAACCCCTTGAACTTCAGCCTTGGCAAATTAAGCCCTTGAAGCCCCTCAGCTCCCCTAGCACCCTTGAGAGCCAGGGTGCGAGTTGGCGGCTCCAAAGGCCGGAACGGCGTTGGTGGCGGGCGAGGCGTCCTCCACACGACAAGGGTTTAGGGCTTCTAGGGCTTCGGGTTTAGGGTTTAGGGTTTAGGGCTTAGTGTTAACGTCACATTTTTGCATTGGGCAGTTGTCAAATTAGAGCCCCTTTTTGGACACCCTAAATATTAGGTGCCGTATTCTACTAGGGACCCCAAAAGGGACCATCATTTTGACAACCACCATGGGTGGTAAGAGTTCTATTCGCCGGGCCAGAGGGCCCCGGCCCAAGACTACTTTCCATAACGGGAGGTTTTCGGGCTGATGTTATACCGCCTGTTATTGTGCCATGATTACACCCCCTAGACGTAGGTCGGTCGCTAAACCCCGAGCCCCAAACTCTGAACCCAAAACCCCAAAATCGAAGCCCTGCAAGCAAGCCTAAACCCCAAATCCTAAGCATCCAAACTCGAAATCCTGAGCTCTGCAAGTTTAAGGTTTAGGGTCCCTGTACCGCCTCACTTTGCTGCCAACTGCATCTCGCGAGCAAAACATCGTACGGGGTCAGATGTTTTAGGAATCAGATCTCAAACAGCTTGTACCCCAAACCCCAAACCCCAAACCCCAAACCCTAAACCCTAAACCCTAAACCCGAAACGTAGACTCTAATATCCCTAAACCCTAACGTTTGCCCCCGTCTGCCCCCCCGGCTGTGCGGAGGCCAAAAGTGCGAGTGTCGCAGCCGAAATCAGTGCCGAGCTTGGTGCAAACCAAAAGGGGATCCTATACGACCCACTCGCCTATATAGGGGGGTCCGATGAAAATAATCATGGGGTGACAATTGTAAAATTTGGCTGGCCAGGAATCGAAAAATTCTACTGAAGATGGCTTAAGGCTTAAGAGTTCCATTGCAGAGAAGACTTTTCAGCTGAGCTGGCTTGAAAGAGCCTTGGGTCTTAAGAGAAGGCTGACCCCCCCCAGACCCCCAGACCCCCAAACCCCCAGACCCCCAGACCCCCAGACCCCCAGACCCTCAGACCCCCACACCCCCCAGACCCCCAGACCCCGAGAATTCTATATTTGCACCCCCTCTTTTTTCCCGCCCTCCAAACCCCGGAGACCCAAACAAATTTTGGGGGGGGGGGGGGGGTGATTAAAGCAACCCTAACATTAGGGTTCAGGACCCTGCAAGGTTTGGGGTTTAACGCAATGGCCAGTAAGCCGTAAGCTTGCAAAATCTTGCCTCACTTGCACGCAGTACCTTGGCTTTCAAGCGTATCAACGGCATGCAGAAGCAGTCCGTCAGGACACCCGCCACAAAGGACACGTACCTTGGAAGCGTGAGGGGCAGCGGAACCTGTGGTCTTGCATTGAAGGCTGGGGAAAGAGTGGCAGGTTCAGCTTCAACCCACTCTGTATAGACCCCGATGCCGCAGCCTCCTGCCCAAGAACCACGACATGCCTTCAACCAAGAACACGGGGTCTAGTCCAGGCCGCCAGTTCATTGACGTGGACAGCGGGCTCGCAGCACCGCAGGAGGACCAGTCTGCCTGGTCTGCTGCGGTGGAGGCACATGATGCTTTAAACTACCCAGGTCACCAAGGACATGTCAAAACATCGAAAGGAGAGTTCTGTGGGCTCCAGCTGTGAAGGTCGTGAGCACAATGCTGAGCTTCGCGGGCGCACATGTTCCAGTGTTGACCTGGAAGACAACGCTTAGGCTTCAGGGTTGAGGTACGGTGCGCAGCAGGTCTTGGCAGATATGGCCTCCGGGGGAGCTGCGCAATAGAATGAAAAGTCAACATGTAAGGGATGGATGCAGAGCTGTCTTGGCCAGAGGTCGGCAAAGCCCTACTTACACCAGCATTTCTGAACAACGACTAGCGACATTCTAGAAACATAGCAAAAGAGGAGTGCAGTAGAGGTGAGACCGACCTGGAAGAGAGGGAGCGCTTGAATCCCAAACTCGTTCCGAACCACTTCGCGCTGTGAGACGACACTCCAGCATGACTGAGGCTGACGGCGTTTGTAATGTCCATGGAAATAGGTGTGCCCGTCCTGAAGACATGGGCATCATATGTCGGTGTTGGACCAACTATCCTTGAGGGCAGACTGCTCTCCACCCTCTCGAAAGTATGTCTGCATCGGAGCGGCTGCGGCGTGAACACGACGTTGCCGCTGCCAGCCTGGCATCTGCCACTCAAAGACAAATGGGGGGGAGGGCAGCCTCTCGGCGCTATCTCGGACTTCACACGCTTTCAGTTTAAAGCCTCAAGCCTTTCGAAGACAGCTGCCCTCGTGCATTGAGTACTTCAGGAGCACAGCTATGAGCCGGCCGCCGGCCTGAATGTCCTCACTGAAGACAATCCTGAGCTCAGTTTGGGTTGGGGGTCGTTGAGGGTTTAGGAGGTTGAGAAATCATCTCGTAAAGCGAACCTTCAATCACAACTGCCCATCCTTGTTTATCCTGCGACATCTGCGACGTAAGGTTTGGACTTGTGACTTGCCCAAGCGAAGACTTCGTTCGGAGCGTCCGCTCCACTGCCGCCCTAAGCCCCTAAACCCGAAACCCGAAACCCGAAACCCGAAACCCTAAACCGTAACCCTAAACCCTAAACCCTAAACCCTAAACCCTAAACCCTAAACCCTAAACCCGTAAACACTACCACTACTCCGATGCTCACCAAGGCTCGTGAAAGTCGGCTTGCTGAGCACGCCGGTCTGCTGGTGGGCAGGAGACACCTGGCTCAGGGACTACCAAGCAAGCTAAGGGTTTAGGGTTTAGGGTTTAGGGTTTAGGGTTTAGGGTTTAGGGTTTAGGGTTTAGGGTTTAGGGTTTAGGGTTTCAGGGTTTTAGGGTTTAGGGTTTAGGGTTTAGGGTTTAGGGTTTAGGGTTTAGGGTTTAGGGTTTAGGGTTTAGGGTTTAGGGTTTAGGGCTTACGGCTTAGGGTTTAGGGTTTAGGGTTTAGGGTTTAGGGTTCAGGGTTTAGGATTTGGGGATTTGGGGATTTAGGGTTTAGGGCAGTTTAAGGGGCTTCGGGATTGGGGTTTAGGGTCTTGGGCAGTCAGGGATTGCCAAGGGTTTATGGCAGGGTTAACAGTTTAGGAAAGCAGGGTTTTAGGCAGGGTTTGGGGTTAACGGTTTAGGGTTTAGGGTTTAGGGCTTAGGGTTTAGGGTTTAGGGTTTAGGGTTTAGGGTTTAGGGTTTAGGGTTTCGGAAAGTCTCGGGGCACCAACGAAGGAAAGCACTGAACACTTCTGGAAAACTCTAACGACCCAGAAGCCCAGAAGGCCAGTTCGGAGACTCCTAAAACCCCTAACCCCGAACCCCCTAACCCCTAACCCTAAACCCTAAATCCTAAACCCTAAACCCTAAACCCGAAACCCTAAACCCTAAACCCGAAACCCTAAACCCTAAACCCTAAGAAGGGAGCCGCACCGAGACCACGCTGGGCGGCGTCGAGTCGCCCATGGTGTGGATGTCGCGCTTCGTAGTGAGGACCTCCGGGGGTGGAACTAGGCCACTCTAATCGGGTTTCGGGCTCAGGGGGTTTAGGGTCAGGGGTTTAGGGTTTAGGGTTGAGGGTTTGGGTTTTAGGGTTTAGGGTTTGGGGTTTGGGGTTTGGGGTTTAGGGTTTAGGGTTTAGGGTTTAGGGTTTAGGGTTTAGGGTTTAGGGTTTAGGGTTTTAGGGCTGATAGGGTTCAGAGGGCCTAACGGAGGTGAGTCTGGGTTTAGGCTTCAGAGCTTAGGGCTTAGGGGGAGGGGGACAGAGAGAGAGAAAGAGAGAGAGAGAGAGTGCTGAGCGACACATCGGCGGTGAGGCCCGAACGTGCGCCGCGTCCACGTCGTTGCCAGGATTGCCTGCCAGGATTCGGTTGGCCCTCAGGTCAGAAGTCGCCCGGATCACACCCATCAAAACATGGAGGGTGCAGTGGCAGAAAACGCACAGTGGCAGAAACCGCAGATTGGTGTTCGCAAGCCTGCATCAAGTCCAACGTCGACTTCTGTGCCGCGATCCCGAGCGTGACAGTACACATCGTACCTGCGAAAAGGAGGAGTTGGGACCTCGAGCATGACTTCACCGACACTCCTAAGCTCATCGGTCCCAACTTGCCGCGACCGGCGACCGGGAGCTGCCCAACATGGCGGCATCGACGAGAGAAGCAGTTCCGATGAACCGGCATCAGGGGGAGGGGGAGGGGGAGGGGGAGGGGGAGGGGAGGGGGGAGGGGAGGAGGATGGGTCAGGGCGAGGCGAGCTGCAAAGGGCAGCCCCGAAAAAACTTAACCTCACAAGATGTCTCCCACATCACATGGAGGTCACTCGGTGTCCCGGACGAGGTTCTGGACCTGGACGGTGAAGTCCTCGGGAGGATTTCGAGAACAGGGCCGGCTTCCACGGCGCTTGGAGTGCTTCCTGGAGCCATACCGATAGGTTAGCATACCAACATGGATACTTATCCGCGCATGTTAAGCAATGCTATACATCCTTCGCCGCCAACCAATAACAAGCTACCGACCAGCGTCAACCCCCAAAGCTTCTCCACCGGGGATGGCACCGTAGCCGCCGTGAGGACGGTCGACGAGAAGCTTGCCGCGATGATCTGCGGAAGAGGCTATTCCGTGTTGGGGGCAGGGTCCATTGTGGCCCTCGGCCCTCGCAAGAAGTTCTTGCAACCACCTCATGCCTCAACTATGGCGAGCGCCGGGCCCCTCCCCACCCCCCCAGCTCTCACGCGGCCTGGTTGATGCTCGGCGGTGTGAACTGGTCCCGGACGGCAGTACACCACGCTGTTCCGGGTCTGGCCAAGACGGCTAAGAGTTCCGCTTATCTCCCGTAATATCTTGAAGACCCTTGAGCTTCATGTTCCTCAATTAGGGGGGAGGAAGCCCTGGAGAAGGCTCCGAGGCTCAAGGACACATGGGGCATGCATGGGGCATGTGCAGTGCTCCGCAGGTGTGTGTGGGGGTGGTTTTGGCTCTAGGGCGCAGGGCTTAGGAACTTAAGCTTGGGGTTTGAGGCTCGGTTTTAGGGTTCCCACTGTAAAGCCGGTTGAAGATGTTAGGCTCTAGCCCCAACTGGACAAGAAGGCACTCTACCCGAAAGGCAGAGCAGCTATCAACAGCGACGGCGACACTCGTCCAGCTGCAACGTGACCGTCGCCCTGCCAACGAAACAGGCTCATTTCGTATCACAAGGTCCCGAAGTATCATAGAAGTGACCCACCTCAAGGCTGCAAGGCTGGCATGCTCAGAGTGTTGTAGAATGTTGAAGATGCTTGCAGCGCAGACCTTTCTTACCTCAAGCGCGACGGATCGCGACGGATCGACGGATTGTACAGGAAGTTGCCCGGAAATGGCAAACTAGAAATGCTCTGATCCAACAAAGTGGCCCAGGGACTGCTAGGGATTCTTGCAGTGCTGGGCTGCCAAGCGCAAACACGCAAAGCTGCGCGTTCACCGGCATGAGTTTCGTGGCCCATGTGTCGATTGAGCTCTGCAGGTACACTGAAGGTACACAACTAAGCCAAGGTTTCACGACACAACTTCTTATTGCCTTAGGTCTAGGTGCTCCCAGCTTCACTAACGACAGGGCCATGCAAAATTGGTTCAAGATTCTACGATGAATTCCTTACACAAACAGCGAGTCTACTTTTGCAGACCCACAATGAAAGCAGCAGACCCATGGCATTCATGTGGGCGCTGAGCGACTGATGGCTGGCGAGCTTCATTTCGAGCTGCGCTGCATGATGGCGTCGATCACGTCGTCGCTCAAAGAGCCACCCTTCTCACTGATGATGCTCCTGTTGAGCTCGCGGTCCTTGAAGCCCATATCGGCCAAGGTCTTCAACATGTCCTCCATGGTCTGAGGGATGCTCTCCCCAGGGAATCGGATGGCACCGTTACCCGATTTTTGTGGCTTGGCCTCGTTGGAGAAGTATGCGCCAGTGACGTTGCTGATCGCATCCGTCACACCACCGATGAAGACGTCCCACTGCGTCTTGGCCGCAACTGGCTCCTCGACACCATTCAAAGCACAGCTTTGCAAATGCTTGTAGAAGGTGCTCCAATCCATGCGCGCACCTCGGTCTTTCTGTGCATCTCTTCCTGTGAGATCCCTGAAGACCGTGGCCGCTGTTTCCAAGGAGTACTTACTTCCTTGTGGGAAGGTGTTCATCAGATCCGAAGCTGCAAGCAAGTTGTCCCTGTCAGCATCGGCATCCTGGAAGATCTTGAAGATCTTGGGCTCGAACTCTGGCTGGCTCAGGTCGATGCAGGCTGCCACAAACTCGGTCCAGTTGATGGCGTCCTTGTCTTGGCTCAAGTTCATGGCCACCGAAGCCCGGCTTGCCTCGGCCTCATCGACCCCGTGCTTCATCAGGGTGGCCTTCAGGGACTCCGTCGCCAGTGAGCCATTGCCGTGCACATCGAACTCGTTGAAGAGTTGCTTGAAGGTCGGCATCTGGTTGGGCGGCCAATCCTGCGCAATCTTCATGGCGATGTTCTTGTAGAGTACGGATCGGCAATGAACGGAAGCCAGGCGCTTGATCAGCCTTTGCCGGCTGGACTCATTGAGACTGCCGGTCTGCTTCGGGGCAGATGCATCTTTCAAGAACTTGCTAGCCAGACACTGAGATGCTGATGGGCGACGCTGGCGCTCCTGCAACAGCATGCCTTCTAGGAGTTCCTTGGCATCCCTGGATGCGCCCGAGACGTACTGCCACGCAGGCCGCGGCTTCTGCCGCCAGAATTTCACAACATCATCAAAGTTTCCTGCGAACTTGACTCGAAAGGGCATCTCCCCACAAAGAAGCTCAAAGAAAACACAACCGCAGCTGAAGACGTCAGCTTCGGGAGTGATTTCACCCCACCAAACCTCTGGAGCCATGGTCATGGGCGTGCCCATGGGACGATTTCCTCGATAGTCCCCAGGCTTGAAGTGCATGGCAATCCCCAGGTCAATGACTACCACATGCGGCTTGGAGTTGAAGGTTGAGCACCTGGCATCTTTAGCATCCCCTTTGCCGAAGAACGCTGCTGTCTTCTGGCTGGGCATTAGCATTATGTTCTGCGACTTCACATCCAAGTGAATGATTCCCCGGACATGGATGTGGCAAATCGCCTGCATCAGCTGTTGCATAGCTTCAGCAATCCATGGCATAGGAATATCCTGGCGAGTTTTCTTCGCGTTTGAGATGTGGCCATGCAGCTCTCCACCTGGACAGAAATCTGTCACGAGGAACACATCGTCCGGTGTGCTGTAGACCTCGTAGAGCTTGAGAATGTGAGGGTGGTCGAGGTGCGTCAGGTTCTCAATTTCCTTCTTCATTGCCTGCATGTCACCATGCAGCTTCTCCTTGGAGATTTCCTTCACAGCTCGAACCTGCTTCGAGTGCTTGTCGTTCGCCAGGTACACGAAGCCATAGGTGCCATGCCCCAGTTCCTTGCCCTTGGTGTACTTCTTCCAGGGGTCCCCTTCCTTGAAGGAATCAATGGAGAACCGGGGGATCGCTTGCACGGAAATCTCCTGCTGCAGCTGCAGAAGCTCCCAGAAGACCCTTTTGAACTCATCCAGCACCAGGCCCGACCCACTTCGAGACGACTGTGTCAGATGGACTTGGGAGCCCACCAGCCCGAGCAGACCATCCAAGTATGCACCCAAATGTGGCACTTGCTCTGCAGGGATGGGGCGGTCCTTTGATTTTGCCGCGCTGACAAAGATTTGCTCTGCAACCGGCTCCACCTGTTCCTGCTGCACAATGCTCTGAGCTGTTGCCACCTGCTGAGCATTGGGGATGGTCCTCGAACGGATTTTCCGTCGCTGATCGGAGCGGCTGATGAAGGCGTTTGGTTTGACATTGAGGCAAACGCCGCCTGACTCATTGTTCACATCGGTGATGATGGCGGGCATCCAGCACTGGAAATGGTCGCTCCAATAATCCAACTGCTGGCCCTTCACGAGCTCCGATGGGTCGATCGGCCTGGGCTTGGGAGCCTCGGGCTGGACTTGCTGGAACTGCGGAAGCTGATAGGCAAAGGCAGCATGCCCCGGAGACGAGCTGCGCTTGGGTGGTGCAGAAGCCTGGCCCTGAAGCCCGTACAACCGGCGCATGTCTGGCACAGGCGTGGCAGGGCGGCTGGGACTCCCCTGAGGCCCCCCTTGAGGGTAGCCTGCAACAGGGGCTGGCATGTGCAAGTGCTGCATCTTGCCAGGGTTCGTTCGATTTGCACCACGGCCTCAAGGAGCTTAGCCACTGCAAAGGCTGCTTCAAATAGCTTGAGCCGGATCACAGCATGCTCCAAGATGGGGCACGTGCAACTGCTGTGATGGAATCGTGCAGGAGAGCCCTACCATGTCGTGCTCACAGCCTGTGCACCACTCCGAGCGCCCCCCCCCCCCCGCCCAAACAAAAAAAAATGGGCCCCAGACGTCGTCTCGCTGCTGGAGGCGATGGAGACGACGGTAATGATTGGCGGAGTGAGGTCCAGGGTAAAGCGCCCTGCACTCGCCGAGCAGAACCAGCGTCAGGATCCGAATCATGTGCGGGAGTCACCATGATCATAAGAGTCTTTGTCAGAAGGAGCACGAGCGATCATGGCCATGCAGGAGAACGAGAACTGTCGCAAGAAGAATACGAATTGGTGTCAAGATCATAGTCTGATTTGGGGCTGTGCGACTGAGCTTGCTGAGAATCCTGATTCCCGCGTGCATCATCCATGGCAATGCTCACTGCTCAACGGGACTGGCAGTGAGCATGGGAACGCGACACATCTGCTGAAACCCCGGCCTGTCGCCTCCACCAGCACGGGCAAGGCCTCATTGTTCCTCAGGTCCACCGACGAATAAGGTTCATTGACTCGAACACTGAAAGCTTTGAAAGCTTTGCGGAGACTTCTGTTTGTAAACTGCTGGGTATGGTAGCAGCCAAGGTAGAGGCGAGGTAGGTGCAGGGTCAATGGTGGTGGCACCCTCCACGAGCTCATCGTCTTCTGCGGCACAGTAGACGAAGTACCTGGATGAACGCAGCAGTGCACCGCGATCCTGCTAATTCAAGCGCTCATGAGGCAAAGAACAAAAACACATGACAAAAACACATAAGGCGGGAGAACCTAAACGCCCGAAACCCTAACCTCTAAAATTCGAGGGTACTTGGTTTCCATGGTGAGGCCAGAGACCTTGATGTCGAAGTTCCTGTAGATGTTGTTCCTCGCAATAAAAGGGAAGATCAGCTTGCAGACAGGTCGCTCAAAGTCTTTGCTCTTATGGCTATTAACTGTTACTGGATTCAGCTTGATTATGGCTGTTATTCTTACGACTGTAGGAGGCGAGCCATCGCCCCACGCCAGCCTGCACAATCCAGACGCTGAAATTTCTGCACGCTCTCTTGCGGCCCAAGTCTCCAGTTTGAGACTGTGTTCTTGTAGACGGGCTGGCACGGTGCAAGGTTCCAGAACAAAAGCAGAACACATCGTGGCTCAATCTAGACTAGTAGACGAGAAGGTGTAAATGTTTGAGTCGTGAAACGCCATGAACTGCCGCAGCTGACGGTGGAGACTCCAAATATGTGGCCCCAACTCTTAGAGCACCCTGGCTGGGCTGGGGACTGCTGTGGTGAGTGCGGTGTAGAGTGCTGCGTCCACGGTCTGCGTGGTGGTGTAGGCCTTGCAATACCTGCATCTTGGTTCAGCTCTAGGACAGCAATCCTTCGACCCACTCCGTCTCTTCGTGCTCTCATACAACACTCGTGGAGTTCAAGGCTCCTGGTTAACCCAAGTCTCAAATAACCCAAATGCAGTAGAAGCCCATGGATCCCTGAACAGCTCAGCGGCCGACGCTGTTCCAGGCTCGTCCAGCTGAAGTGTGACGGTGATGGAGGACTCTTCCGTCGACTCCTGGCAGGGGCGGCCAGGCACATGCGCAGAGCTCGGGGTTTAGGGTTGCACTTGGGCTCGTTTAGCACGTCCTGGAGCTGCTCTAAGCAACCTTAAATCCTTAAGCCCTAAACCCTACACCCAAAACCCTAAACCCTACACCCAAAACCCTAAACCCTCAGTAAGCAGCTCAAGCTATCAACTTCGCCAGCTGCACGGCTTCCACGAAGGTGATGGTGGGAGGTGTCGTGTCCGGTGTCCGGACCTAAGAGCTTGAGGTTTTTTAGTGTCTAGGATGCCAGGGGGGTGGAATACAGGGTTTAGGGTTTAGTTTAGGGTTTAGGGTTTGGGGTTTGGGGTTTGGGGTTTGGGGTTTGGGGTTTGGGGTTTAGGGTTTAGGGTTTAGGGTTTAGGGTTTAGGGTTTAGGGTTTAGACTGAGTCCTGAGGGGCTTAGGGTCTTTGCATGGAGGGCTCGCCGTTGCAATCTTTCTGTCTGGACAGCTCTCCACAACGAGAGAAGCTCTGAATGCTGAGGGGAGCGCGTGCAGGATTTTCCTTGGCAAGTCCAGGAATGCATCCACACGCATCCCCAAGCCTTGTTAAACCTTAAAACTCTGCACAGCCCTAATCTCTCCAAACTTACCCTTGGTTAGCAGGGAATGAGGAACTAAGGGCCCTATATATATATATATATATATATATATACATATATATATACATATATACATATATACATATATATATATATATACCCTTTAAGGGATCCTTATATGTATTAGGGCACATCATTTCCCCATTCCCTGCTCACCTCCAGTAAGGAAAAGGAAGCTCTGAGGTGGCCGCCCTCCTGCCAGGCCCGCCCCGTTGGTGACGGTCGCTGGCGGCGTCCCCCCAAAGGCGGTGTCCACGTAGGTCTGGTCCTTCGTTCGGGGTTTTGGGCTCTCTTTTACATGAAAGTCAAAGTCCCTATGCAGGGTAGGGTAGAGCCAGAGCCCTTGGGTGAGTATCCCACACTCAACTAAAACCTCATACTCTAACCCCAAACTATAAAACATCCCCAAAAGCCCATCGCTGAGAACTGGCCTGGTAGTTGTTCCTGGGATACGTCGTGCAGGAGGCGCTCGGCGCCTCGATCAGTCGGAAGAGGCTTCCCTTGACTCTCGACGGCTTAGGGACGCCCCGTCGACGTTTACCTGAAAGGTTAGGCTCGCTTTTGGGAGCATCTGTATAGGGTCATAAGGAGTCCTTTTCTTGAAAGAATTTAGGGATGGGACTCATACATAGAACCAACCCCCCCAGGGATTTTCGGGAAGTCGATCCCTCCAACCCCCATGCTCGCGCCGGCCTGAGCGTAGCAGGAGTACTGCACGGCTTCGTCGCGGCTCCAACCTAGAAGCGCTGTTGTCGGCGTTTAGGGTTAGTTGTTTAGGGTTTAGGGTTTAGGGTTTAGGGTTTGGGGTTTGGGGTTTGGGGTTTAGGGTTTAGGGTTTGAAGGGGGGAAGGGGGGAAGGGGGGGGGGGGGTTGTTTTTGGT